TTTGATGGAGCTCTGTAGACACTCCTCCAACTCATCAGTCCTGGGAGGTGGGAGGACAGATGTTTCTCATTTTCTATTAATTGCATCCCACAAATCTCCAAAGAGGGTGCAAGGCCACTTCGTGAGGATGGGCACGAGGGGCCTTCGTGTGCTGGGAAGTTGGTTCTCAAAGGACAGTTCGCATCATCACTTAGCTCTCATCCAGGGTTGACTATACTGAATGCATTCCCTGTCCCTTGCCTACACAGAAAGCTCAACTCAGGGGAAAAAGCATGAAATGAGCCACAGGTTACTCAGGAAGGAATGACCCTGGGGCTCAGTCAATGAGTTCCTCAGAGGAGGAAAGCGTCCTAGAGGTGGTAGTAGATTTGGGACTTGTGAACCCCAAGTCTGGGCTCCTTTACGTGAGAGACAGAGGAATGCTGTACCTCGGCCGAACACAGAATTGAGGCAGTTTGAGGCTGGTGATCAATGCTGGCAAATGGGTCACAAGGAATGGCCCACACTGCGTGGCTCCTGCAGACAAGAGCTCCCAATGGAGGCTGGGTGGAGAACTGGGTCACACCTGGTGAGTTCTGACAATGGGCTTTCAACACAGATGCTAACCCCAGCTCTATCTCTGAGCAGCAGGGTGGCACTGGAGAGTCCTGCAGCCAGAGCCCTGTTCTCTCCACTTACAAAAGCAGTGATCCCAATAATTCTGCCCATATCTGTCTCACAGAACTGCTGAGAGAGTCAACTGGGACAACATATGTGAGACACACTTGGTGGATTCCAAAGTGCTATAGAAACGCTAATTATTAAGCGTGATTTTACTACAGCTGGAACCAAACGCTTTCTGGAACACATTTGTAATTGTTTACTGAAAGCCATGGGAGGGACAGGGGAATTCCATTAATGAAAAATGCTTCAAAGCAAGCTGTCTTGAAAACCAGCCTGTTATCATTGCAAAAGGGATTCCATCCACAGCCGAGATCCCCCGGGGCAGGTCTTTTATGCCAGGGAGAGGGTGGCAAGGGCACCTGTTAGGAACCAGGCCCTGCTTCTTGGTTTCAGACACAGTCTCCAACAGTCAAGCTGCCACCTTCTGGCGGCACCGGAAGAGGAGCAGGTGGGGAAACAGAATAGCCAAGGGTCTGGAATTAGACAGCGCTGGTTCCCACTTCTTGTATGGATGGGGCGGGTTCTTTAGACTTTATTTATACATGATAATAGCTGTTACTTTTTACTGCACCCTGGCCATGTGGCAGATAACACATTAAGAATTTATCTCCTCTTAACCCTTACAACTAGCCCATGAGTTTCAGGTGAACACTGAAGGGACTCAGGCACACATATACATGTTTCCATTCTCCCCCAAACTCCCCTCCCATCCAGGCTGCCACATAACATTGAGCAGAATTCTATGTGCCATTCAGTAGGTCCCTGCTGGTTATCCGTTTTAGACATGGCAGTGTGTACCGGTCCATTCCAAATGGGTGAGTCCCTTCACTGTTGACCTGAAACCATCACAACATTGTCAATTGGCTATCCCTCAACACAAAATAAGTTTTTTTTTTTTTTTAAAAAACAACTAGCCATGAAAGACCCAATTTACAGATGGGGAAGTAGAGGCCACAGGGGTTAAGGGATGTGCCTGAGGTCACACAGGAAGCAAGTGGTAGAGTCAGGATTTAAAGTCTCCTCAACTCCATGTGGCTAGACAGCATTTAGTGGTAATATGAATCTGCCTGCCCATGCAGAAACACTGGTTTGATCCCTGGGTCAGGAAGATTCTCGGGAAGAGGGAATGGCAACCCACTCTAGTATTCCTGCCTGGGAAATCCCACGGACAGAGGAGCATGGCAGGGCTACAGTCCATGGGGTTGCAGAGTCAGACAGGACTGAGCAATTGAGCACACACACCTATAACTACATAAAGGTTCTACAGCTGTTAAGAAAACAAGTTCTATGAGTTTAACCCGCCTGGGCTCCAATCAGGCTGTGCCATTTACTGGGAGAGAACCTCTCCAAGACTCTGATCCTTCATGCATACAAACCGTATAAATTATTCAATTTATACAAATTGTATAAATTATACCACTTATACAACAGTGATAATGACAGCACCTACAGTGGGCTACTGGGAGATGATGCCTATAAAGCCCTGGGCATGTGGTGAAGGCACATCCAAGGTTTCCTTTTGCTTCCTCTGGTATTCCCCTCCTTCAGCAGTTGTGTAAGACCTCTTCCCCCACCTACAGCAGTGGTTGTTAAATTGCGTTTCACAGTCTAGGATTCCTTAGTGGGCAATGTGGAGAGACTGAAAGGCAGGGCTCCGTGGATCCCACTGGCTCCGTCAAAGAACAGCTTTGCTGTTACTTGTTCCACATTTTGGAGTGCTGAAAAAGTTAATTTATTTAAAAAGAGGGTTTTCCTACTTAATTTCTAGGAAATGTCTTGATTAAATGAATGAAATGTGTAATACAAGAATTTAATTCTAAAAATTCTATGTTCTCCATTTCTTATCTCTTCTGTAGTCCGATTATAGGCTCTAAAGGCAGGGCTTAGGATGGGCAGCGGTGGGGCCGTGGTTCTCGCACGATCTTAACTCCCACCCTTAGGATCAGCTTCTGCATCAAAGCCTCCCGGGGATCTTGTTAAGAACCAGGACCCAGGCGCCCTCCCAGTGCGGCTGATGGAGTAGCTGTGGGCTGCGGCTGTTTAACAATCTCCTCCGGCGAGACCCACACAGGTGGCCAGGGTGTCATCCTGTGGGAAATTCTGCTGAAAACCACAAGGAGACAGGTGGGGGCTTCCTGCTAAAGCATGTATCATCTTCCTAGTGAATTTCAATGAACATTATTGCTCAAGGAAAACCTCTTAGGGGAGTCTCACGTGGAAAACACGAGAGCGGAGGGGATTTTCCGGGGCACGGTTGAAGACCCGGCGCCATCTTTTTCCTCACCGAGGGCCCACAGCGCCTCCTTGTGGACAGTCTGATCAAAGAGGCCTGGTCCCGCCTGCGCGAAGAGCTTCCGTCACCTGGAGACATCGCCCAGGGCTCCTGGAGTGTTGCTCACCGCAGGGAGGATTGTTTGCCTACCTGACCCCATGAGCTGAGTCTGCGACCATCCTGGGATACCCTCCCCTCCACACTTAATCCCATCCACCCTCTGTTAATACTGCAGCTTATCCTAGGGGGCCTCCTGGAAACCTCTCACCTCCAGTTCCTACAGAACATACGTTCTATGGAATGAAACCTTGGTCTTTAGCTGCTTCTGGGACTCATGATACATCCCCACCAATATGCCAAAATTAAGACTGTAAGCTTCTTGGGGCCAGAAATCCCCCTTCTCCTTCCCTGACTGTGTTCCTGATCTAGCATTTGGCACATGATAAATACCTAATACACACTCGCTGGATAAATGAACGGACGACTCCAAAGTGCCATTCCCCTTTGACGTTTCCTTCCAATTCCCTGCCAACAGAATAAAACTGGTATGTTCTGGCTTTTAAGTGCTCCTTGTTTTAAGTGTTTTAATACATGTTTAAAGCTGAGTCGCTTTGCTATGCACATGAAACTATTACAACTATTAATAGGCTAAATTTCAATATAACATAAAAAGTTAAAAAAAAAATCAAGACACATCACCCTCCTGCCCAAAAACCTGACTTTTAGTGTTTAAAATGTCTGTCTCAATTTTGAGGTTTCTGCAATGCAAAGAGTCTACAATTTTTTTCTTTTAAAAGTCTTAAGCCTACCTAGCCTCCTGCAGGCCACTGGAAAAAAGATTTTATCTTTGTATTAATAGATATTTAGTATATGTTCATCAATTCTATCTAAGTAATCATACTCTTCCTGCCCTTTTATCCTGATTTCAACTTATTTTTTTGTCTATGTTATCTGTCAAGGCTGTTAAGTTCAAAATTCCCTATTGATTTTTTGGGTGGGGTCAATTCACCTTTCACTTGTGGGTTTTACTTTCTACTGTTGTTCAATACACATTGCTCTAATAATGTATTTTATTTACATTCTATTCCTTACCCCATTATAAAATAAACCTCTCTCTCACTCAAGACTCTCTGCTTTGCATCTTTCTTGTTTGATATTCACATTACTTAGGCTTTCCTAAATCAATATGCAATCATAAACATTTGACAAATTCCCTAGTTTTGCTTCTGTGACTCTTCCCTTTATATGGCTTTCTAATAAACAATGCAGTGCAGACTTCGGCTTTTGAATCTGACCTGAGACTCTGCTAATTCATGAATCCAGACTGTGTATGTTGTCATTAATCATGATCAACTGTCTTTCATCGGCCTATTTTATGCTTTCTCTCATCTCTTCTGTTATCTTTCACTGCATGAACTACTCTGTCTTCTACCACTTTTAAAAAATGTGGAAGATAAATACATTCTATTTATATTCTGTTAGTGGTCAGTAAAACTGACTTGAAAACCCAGTCTCCTTGAGTCTTACTTTATTTTGCAGAGTCTCTGCATGTGCCTTTGGTCAACAACCTCAATCCCACGAGCAGAGGTCTCTCCTGGGGAGGGAAGACGGGGTCTGACTTTGATCTCGCCTCGTGTTCCCATGGTTGCGGGGGGCTTGGGAAGCCCAGCCCCTGCACCCTCACGGGATGGTACCAAGTGCTCCAAATTACAGCGTGCCTGGTGGGGTCAGGGCCCGGCTCCTCCGCCAACCCTCTGCGCTCACCCACGCGGCCTCTCCACCACCTTTGACTGCGAGTGTTCTGAGCTTTTGTGTTGGCAGCTAAACATGCTCAGAGTCCCACCTCCTCGGTTTCTGACACATTTCTCCATGACTACTGATCGTTACTAGAACAGGAAGGGGAGGCAGAGTTCAGGGATGGGCCATGGCCCCCAGCCGCCCCGCCCTGGCTTTCTCCCGGAGGCCCTGAGCCCCTCGGGTCCCTCGATGAGTCCGGCCGCCTGGAGACGACTTGGGGGGCCCTGCAGTCGTCCGGCAGCCCACTGAGGCCCTGGGGGTCTCTTACCTCAAACTGGATCAGCACCGTCCCGCTTTCAAGGCCCTTCTTTAGCTGCTCCATGGACCCCTCCAGCGTGTCGCCCCCCTCCGGACACACGGGGAAGATGGCCTCTGGGAAGAGCTGGTTCAGTTCATCTTCAGATTTGATATCAGCAAACGAATGGACGGCTGCAGTGGACGAGAAAGGGGGCGTCGGGGTTGCCCAGCCCAGCCATGCGCAGGGGATCGGTTTCCTCCCCCCAAATTACACTTGTGACACCTGAATGCAGACGGTTTAAAACATCTTATTAAATGATTAAGCACATGGTAATCATTTTCACCAAAGATACTACTTCCCGTTGAATGATTCAATATGTGCTAATTATACAAAATGACATACTAATCTTTCTGGTTAGCCTTAAATGATGGTGTTTAGGACTCAAGAGGCTTCTGTCAGAGGTAAGAGGAAGGGAACACACATCATTGAAGAGAACACATCTTCTCCCTTTGCCTTCTCTGACCTGGTTATTCTTTCCTTCTCAGGTGCCCTGCATTAGTTCCCTTCAAACAGGCACTTTCCCAGGAAGCTGGTATGGGGTCTGATGCTGTCCACACCCCCGCCCCACAAAGCTTGGTCAGTTCACCTCTAACTCAAGGCTCTTGTTAGCTGGGAGGCTCTGGGGTAGACATCTCTGAGCTTCTTCTTCAGAATTCTTCCTTCACGTCAGACTCGATACGGGTAAAAACCAACAGAACACCTCCTCCTCCCCACCACGCACACCATTTCCCCAGCCTCATGTGCCTCTTTCTGTCCGCCACCACCTCAGACTTTGGGATCATCTCTGAACGCTCCCTTTCGACCCAGAAAGAGAAGTCACTCCCTTACCCCAGAGCCTTCAGTGACTTTCTCTACTGCCTTCAAGGTGAGAGGAAATGAGAAGAAACAACTTCTGTCTTTTCCCGCACAGTTGAACTGAATCCTCACGGTGCTAACCAGTATTCCCACCTTATTTACTTATTTATTCCCATTTTACAGGCTCACAGGCCAAAGAGTTGTCCAAGGTGACCCAGCCTGTCAGGGTGGGACCCGGGAATTTAGTCTACATGTCTGACCCTAATGGGCACATTTGTTTCACTGATCAACAGAAGCTCTGATTTTTTACTGATTTTTCATGGGTTCTGTCGCATGTGCTACTCTCTCTGTTACTATTATTTTTCTTTCAATCAATTCTTTTCTTTAAATATTTTAAAAATGAACTTATCATGACAGCTATAGAAAACTAGTGGCACTGATCTTACAACTCCACTAGTCTACAAACATCTCTGTTCCTCACCTCAAACAGGTGCCAGCCCCTTGCCATGGGTCGGTGGAGGATGCCCACTGGGGCCTGGCCAGAGCGCTCTGATGCCACTTCCCCTCCCCCTCCCCCAAGACCCTGCCCTTTATCGGCCAGCAGGTCACCTGACACATCACGTGACCGACAGGCTTGCTTCCGGCTGCTGGCCTCCTTCCTCCTCTACCATCACATGGCCTTATCAGACTCACAGCAACTTACTTAACCTCTCTGTGACTGTTAGCCTCATTCGGGGATAAGAATACCAACCTTATGAGATCATTATGAGAATGGAAGAGGATAATTATGTAAAGCAATTAACACCACGCAGGCACTTCACTGGAGCTGCACAGAGGTCGGCCACTGTCACCAGTGAACCTACTATGTGTCCAGGGTGGAGCTGGGTTTGGTGAGATGGGTGGTGGGAGGAGCTGGGTTAGGGGGCTGGAGAGATTCGGGAGGACCTCTCACAGAGAAGGTGGGATGAGTGCTGGCACTGGGAGTTTTAGTGGGAACAGAGGGGTATGTGGGGGGTGTGGGCTGTGCCGATGACTGTGAGTCCAGATGGAGATGCAGGGCCAGGGCCCGAGTCACGTGCTTCATTTACCTTCAGTGTCTGAAAGCTGGGAAGGAGGCTTCCAGGACTGGGCTTCCGGCTTTATAACAATAACAACACTAATAGTAGCCGTGTTCAATAGAGGATGCCCTTCCGACGCCCACCAAGAACCAGGCAGCGTCTTTGACACTTTCCAGTATGAGCCTCATTTTATCTTCACAGGGACCCCGGGAGGTAGCGACTATGTCATCCTCATTTTACATTAGAGGAAACTGAAACTTAGACTGGGTAAGAAATCTGCTCAAGGTCCCGGAACCCAGGAGGAGGCAGACTTAGAAGAGCCTTGAGGCAGCCAGGCTCCGGCCCCATTCTGCTAAAGCCTCTCTCCAAGGAAACCAAATGCACATGAATGAAATATAACCTGATCCTTTGAGAAAGGGTTGAAAATGCAAATGCAGGCAGAGGCAGGCAGCTAAGAGGGCTGCATGAAGGGGGCTGAGATGGACTTGCAAGGAACAGGGGAGAGGAATGTCACGTCTTGTATTAAAGGTAGGGGCGGGGGGGGGGCTGCCTACCTGCAGAGGACTGGCCATGAGGGGCGGGGCCCTGTGGGGCCAAATCTCCATATTTTTCAAGTGAGAAGTCAGCCATCAGGTTGCTCCCCATCAGGGGAAAGTTCTTGATTTTCCGATGTTGGCTATGAGGACAACATCTCGAAACCAAGGAACGGGCCGAGAAGGCCCTCTTCTCTAAGGCTCCTCTCCCTCGGGGGCTGTTACCTTTCCTCCTGATCACCAGGGCCAGCTCCCGCGTGTGCGACTCCCGGCTGGCTTTGATGAACATCACCACTTGGTCATGGGTGTGTTCTGAGATGTCCCGGCCGTTGATTAGCACGATTTGATCCCCTTCGTTCAGCTTAGGAATGCAGGTGTCTGCCTGCACACAGGGCAAGAGCGAGTTTCTTTCGTTACCATAACATAACCCTCAAGGGGAGAACCTGATGCTTTCTGAGCCTGGACACTGGAGACCGTGACCAAGTTCTGCCTTTCTCCCCCCGGCATTACCGCCTTTATTTTTATTTCAGCCACTACTATGTTGACATGGTAGCTAGTGGTGGGATTTAAAGAAGTGTTGCTCAAAAACCTATATTACGAATGAAACATTTCAGAATAAAGTGAAAAAAGGTGCTGAGGCCATTTCTCTATGGCAGCCAAGCTTCACTTATTACTGTAATGTCAGAATGATTCTATTGCCTCTACCTTCTGTTTCTCCAGGTGCGTTGTTAGAAAATGATTTGTCAGCTGAAAGCAAGTATTTAGCTATCTTGTGATGGAGAAAGCCTTTGCAAGCATAACCCCCAAGGCACAAACTGTTATGGACAAGAAGTCGTGCAACTGAGCGAAAGATTTCTTAACTCATAGAGGCCATAAGCAGTAAGAGAAAGTAAACGACAAGCTTAAAGACTACTTAAGAGTAAAACCCCCAAACAGGTCCCTTTCTCAGGAGATACAGGGACTCTTTGGTGCTCAATGCTTAAAAACAAAGCAAATCATCCCCTAGATGCCTAGAGGCCCAGGCAGACGGCTGAGGATGGGGTGAGGGTGGGGGTGGGGGAAGAGGCATAAGGCCCACGAGCCCACTTAGAGCTTGTGGAACAGCAAACACTATGCCCCAGTTGCCTTCTTTCGAGCAGGACTTCTACACTTTAATGTGCCTCCCAATCACCTGGGGATCTGGTTAAAAATGCAGATTCTGGTCCAGATGGTCTGGGGTGGGGTACAAGAATCTGCATTTCTAGTAAGCTTCCCAAGGGATGCTGGTGCTGCAGCCTCGGGGACCACACAGAGCAGCAAGGTTCTGGAAAGTTCTTTCTTTCTATCTCTATGCATGCACTGACACACACTCTATGCTGCCAGTAAAAAAGAAACAGGACACAGAAATAAATATCGGTTACATTTACGGGAAAACAGACTTGGGAAATTACAGAATATGTTTACTTACAGGTGACTCTGGGTTTATCCTTGACACCACGAGAGGCATCTTTTGATCCACTCCTCCCTGTAAACATGTAGATTAAAAACCACTTGAGTTGTTCACAGCACCAAAAACATGCAGATATCTCTGACACAAAAGGAGGGTTCAACTTTCACTTAAATATATTCTACTCCCAAGGGTTGTTACCTTTTAGAATGATAAGGTTCCAGAGGCTATGGGTCTAGTGGGTCAACCAGAAGGCCACTCAGAAGCCTCCCACTACCATCCCCACCATCCATGGACTAAAGATACACTTGGCAAAAGCAAGCTCCTTTCAAAAAATGCAAACATTCTCAGGAAAAAGACTCTAAAAGCCCAGCCCATAAGTGCTGCTGGGAGAGGAGTTTACGGTGGAGGAGTGGCGCTGTGGAAAGGTCCCAGACTGTGAGGACTTTTGACCTCTGAGAACTGGCTGTCAGCAGGGCTGCTGGGGTAAGAGAAAGGGGTGTATGATGACAGTTGTGGGGTGGGCAGCGAAGATCACCCGACTTCACTCTGCTCTAAGGCTGGTAAACCTTTTCTGTGAAGGGCCAGATACTACTTATTGTGGCTTTGTGGGACAGAGGGCACTCTAGCAACTCTGCCATCGAAATGCCAAAGAAGACATAAATCATTTGTAAATGAATGGGGTGTCTGTGTTCCAATAAAACTTTATTTGTAAGAACAGATGGGATTGGGCCCGTAGGTCATAGTTTGCAGAGCCAGCCTAGAGGGAAACAGAGGTTATGGTCCTGCACCTGAACCCCTGTCCTCTCGTTCTCTTAGCAGTGCTAAGGGGTTACCACCTCTCTGAAACTTGTGTTCATTCTGTCGTGTCCCACCTCTTTGCGACCCCATGGACTGTTGCTCGCCAGGCTCCTCTATCCATTGGATTCTCCAGGCAAGAATACTGGAGTGGGTTGCCATGTCCTCCTCCAGGGGATCTCCCTGATCCAGGAATCAAACCTGCATCTCTTGCGTCTCCTGCATTGGCAGGCAGATTCTTTACCACTGAGCTACCTGGGAAGGCCCTTAGAGTGCATCTATAAAATGTTTAAAAATACCAACTTCACCACTTAATAAAAGGACTCAATACGGGGAAATGAACAATCCCCTTTATATCCTCAATAAGGGGATATAAACAAGTACCTAGAGTAGGCACTCGGTATGAGGCAACTCCTATGGCCCCGGTGAAAAGCTCCCAATTCTGAAGGCCAAGCCAATTTTCCTACACAGCCTTAGGTCTGTGGCACATTTGTAACGGAAGTTTAAAAATCATCTAAAGAGTGCTTCAGAGCATCACATGTCCTTATAAATTACACACAACATTACCTTTAGATTAAATCCAAATTTCCCATCTTCATCTGGCGTGATGCGGATCAAGACCAAGTAGCCGTCACCATCGTTCTGGAAAATGTCAGAAAATCGCCAGTTACGTAACTTCTTTCTCCAGTGATTGGTGATAACCTATTTCCTTTGAGTCCTAAACCACTTAACTGCCCGATAGGCGGCCCCACATGGGTAGCCCGGCTGGCTTGGCCCCGCTTCAGCCACAGCACCTGAGCGCCCCACCTTGTCACAGTAGTACTGGCTGGAGTCCTCAGTGGAGCCCCCTGTGGTCACCCTGTGGAAGTCCTCTAGGAACTGCTGATCGACACCATCTGGACCTAGTTTACATTATTCACCTGTGACATCCACTCATTGCCTCTGCTGAGATCACAGGTTTTCTTTTTCTCTAATATAGGTCCTTCTGTACCTTGGTGCTACACAGTCCAATATGGCAGCCACCAGTCACAAGTGGCTATTTAAAGAAGTGAAGATTAGAAAATTCCTCAGCTATACCAGTCACATTTCAAAAATGCCCAACAGCCACACGTGGCTAGAAGCTCCTGCACTGGACAAGACCAGTCACAGAACACTTCCACCACTGCAGGAAGTTCTACTGGATGATGCTGTCTTGAGAAGTGTCAAAGACCTTGGGGTCATCTGTCCCGATCTCACTTCACGGATGAAGAAACTGGTCAAGAGGCACTGAGTGACTTGTCCCAGGTCACACAGCTTTTTCCTCACCCGCCAGGAGGCTGGTGCACCGGAGTCCCTGAGCACCTGTCCCCTCTCCCAGCCACCGGATCTGCTCCTAAGACCATCCTCTCCAACCTCTCAGGGCTGCAAGGATGAACACTGTGTAGGGCAGGCAAGTCCTCTGCATCAGGTACACCCACACTGCACTCCTTCCAGGGCTGCAGGCTGAGCAAAAGACGCCTTCAAACGCCTACAGCATACGGGGCTATCCTCACGTTGCACAGACTCCTCCACATTCTGACCTCACTCTGGGTTAGTTGATGGGAAAGGTGAGCAGACAAAGACAGCGAGACAGACGGATGGACGACAGTCACTGCTGCTTCTTACTAAACCTTTATTCCAGGTCCTTTTCCAGGGATTTTTCCATTAACGGAGTACCTCTCTGTTTCCCAGCAAGTTTAAATTAGCTTACTTTAAATACAAAATCTGTATCGTTTTACTCATACAAAGTGATTCACAATCTCAATTCATTTGAATACAAAATTTTGGTGACAGTGTAGAAATAGAGCTATTTGCAAGAAAAGAGTTTGAACTTAAGGTGCTCAAATTGCCAGTTAAGGGGTATCATGGATGGGAAAGCATTTCAGAGCGAGGAGATTTTAGACTTAAAGCTGTGTCCTAGTGGGATGTTTTCAGGCTGGAAATAAATGACTTTAGTTAACAGGAAACAAAAAAAAGTTCTCAAGTAGGGCAACGTTTCTCTCTTGATGTTTCTAAGAGCACCTCCTAGTGGCAGAAAGGGAGACTTGAACTTGCTAAACAAGATAAAGCCCAAAGTATTTAGAAAACGCTATTTCCAGCTAGAGGTGGAAGTGATCCTCTATCATGGAGCTGCCGACAGCATTCATACTTCAAGTATTTGGGAGAATCTGGAGACGAGAGTGATGGAAAGGGTGAGGACATGTAAATAGAAGAGCAAGGCAACACAGCGGAAAACAGACTTCTCAGTCAAGTGTAATATATTTTTGTATTCATTGTATCTCACTTCTAAATTCTGAATTTTGAAATACGTTATATAGAATTTAGATGACATTTTGGAAGGTTGTAAAGTATTTTTCTTTTATCAGTATCAAACTGAATGGTCTACCCAAAACAACCCACAGTACTAAAAATAACCTGATATTCAAAGTCATTATGTCCCCAATCCTATTTTCTAAGTAGGGGCGGAGAGGTTACTTTTAGATGGTAATTTATTAAACATGACAATATTTTTTTGGCTGAGCCACCATGTACAGACGTTCCCTGCAGGCTGCAGTAACATTCGGCTCAGCGTGGAAGATGGACAGACAGATGGCGAGGAGGACATCAAAAGACGCAAGACACAACGAGGAGGTGGCAGCTGGACACAGCACAGCGATGCCGCGAGTGAGGACGCCAGACCATGTAGCCTTCCTCCCCGCTCGGGGCAGGACGTGAGGCATGACTGAGGGAGGGACCAGGGCAACCCCTGAGGCTTCGGGGTAACTGTGAAAGGGGCAAAGAAACGTAGGCAGAGAGACTGGAAGCAAGTGGTTTGCCCCAGAGGCAGGAGGAGGGACTGCCACTGCTGTTGGGGAGCCAGAGCAGTCGGGGAGGGACTGGCCACCCCCAGCTCCCGGAAGAGAAAGGGGGCAGAGACAGACTGACGGACGGACTGACCGGCAGACAAGCGGGTGCTCGCCCTCAGAAGCCGATGCTTCAGAACTGTAAACGCAGTAGGCGTCGGAAACAAAAGCCAGGACAGAGTTCATTTCTCTGAAGAGAAGCAAGGTTAAAGAAAAAGTTAAAATGGCAAGATTCACCATGTGATATTTTTTATACCACTCTCTCCTACATTCTAGAGAAATTTCAAAGACCCCCCAACCCATCCCCAGACCTGTCAGCCAAGCAAAGCTGTGCTCCCACCAAGGGTTTCACGGTTCTCACTGGGGGCGCCTGAGAGGCACCGGCTCTGGCGGGCGACAGAATGGGAGCTGTTCCGGATGGCATCTGTCCCTCAGGCCTATGAGCTTCTCAGGGTTGGGAGAGACCCATGTCCTCTGTCTGTTTCTCCCCAAGGGCACTGAACACGTAGCCAGGTAATCTACATGGGTCCTGATGGAAGGAGCACTGACTAACACAAAGTATCTCCGGAGTATGGGTGTTGGTGACATGGAAACATTGTCCAGGTGACACTTATTTCTGCAACACACGCCAAGGGCCCGCGATCAAAACTTCACGCAAGAAGTGGCGGAGGGAACACAGGTCAGAAGTGCTGCTTTCTGAGCTCCATGTCTCATCACTAATGGAGTCACAGGTCATGCATCATCCCCAGGCTGCCCCCTTGGACACGGTGATACCTCAATAGCAAGAAAGCACTGGGTAAATTTTGGTCAGTTTGTGCTTGAATTGTTTGAGAATTTCTCACCCATATGTACCCTGCAGCGGCACCTACCACAGGGAACTGCTGACAGAGGCCAGGTAACCGAAACTTGTCACAGTAAATCTATCTGAGTCCTTGGTGTGCAGATCAGATGCTGTGTGGTCATGTGATATGGGACCTGCCATGGAAGTGGCAGAGGAGACACGCATTATGAAAACTTGGGAGCTTGTCTGGGCATTACCCAAGGGCTGCATCCTGCTTCATGTGACCATGTGTCTGTCTGTCTGTCCATCTATCCACAGAGTCACTGTATATCTAAGTGCCAGGCATCATGCCAGGTTTGGGGGAAGGAGTGGTGAATAGGGCACTGTTTCTGCCCTCGGAGAGCTCACTGTCTATTTTAAGGTACAGAAATAAATCAGATATTATCATCACGCTCTAAGGGAGATGCTCAGATGTCTGGGGTACAGTGGGAGGCCAGGAAGGACTCCACAGAAGAGGGTGTACTTGAGTCTGAAAGATAAACTAGCAGCAGTTTAAACAGGTAGTCAGGAGGGAAGAAGAAAGCATTTTAGACAAAACTCTAATTAAAAAACAAACCTGCAGCATCTGCAGAGGCATGAAACTTTGAAAAGCACAGAAAAGACATCTAAGTAGAGGAGTGATGTGCTCGGGATTTAATTTCAGGAAGATAAGCCTGTTACCCTTGTTGAAACTCCAATACTTTGGCCACCTGATGCGAAGAGCTGACTCATTTGAAAAGACCCTGATGCTGGGAAAGATTGAGGGCAGGAGGAGAAGGGGACGACAGAGGATGAGATGGTCAGATGGCATCACCGACTCGATGGACATGAGTTTGGATAAACTCTAGGAGCTGGTGATGGACAGGGAGGCCTGGCGTGCTGCAGTCCATGGGGTCGCAAAGAGTCAGACACGACTGAGCAACTGAACTGAACTGAGCCCTTGTTAAGGATGGTCTGGAAGGAGGAGGAGAGACCAAAGACAGGAGGATACTTAGAACACTGCTGCAAGCATCCTTTTGAGAGATGATGGCAGTTATACACGGGCAAGGCGATGGGGAGGATGGCGGAGAGGTCCACGTCAAGAGATGTTTGCGGGAGAGAAACAGCGGGAACTGGATGATGCAGGTGCTAGAGAAGCTGTCGAGGATGCCTTAAGTCCCAACAGGTGCCAAGAGGGTGGTTCTTGAACATGGCCTCACTCACCAAGACACAGAAGCAGCCGCGGGCTGTACAGAGGATGATGAGCTGAGGCTGCGTCAGGCTGGGTTAAAGCAGTCATCAGACGTCCACACGCAAGCGGCCCGAGACCAAGAGAAGGGCAGGCAAGGTGCAGGGAAAATGAACACAAAATTCCTGTGAAACCCTGTCGCTGGCTGGTCTCCTGCGGGGAGACACAGTTTGGAAACCAGGCTGCCCAAGACAGCAGGCTGCCCCATGGCAGGAGAGCTGCCCGTCACCAGCTGGGTGACCGGGTGACAGGGCAGAGGGAATTCCTACCCCTGGTGATGCAGCTGAAGAAGGGGATATACCTAGAGTTCCTTCCAATGCATGGAGGCTATTTTAAAACATTTAAAAAACACTGGTGAAATACACATGAAATTTACCATCTTAACCATTTTCAAGTGTACAGCTCAGTAGCATGAAATGTATTCACACGGCTGTACGTACAGAAGTTTGGAAATAAAAGCCGACAGCTGCCCTGTGTCCCCAGAACAAGGCAGGCTCTGGAGGAGAAAATGAGCAAACGGCCAAGACATCATGGTGGCACCAGGCTCCACTCCCTCTGACGAAAAGTTCTTCAAACACAACCCTCATCTGCCCTCAAAGTTGTTTTCCTCCAGCTTTCTGCTCTGCAAAGTCGTTTTCTCCTTTGGGGCACTCCCCCTCCTTTTTTTTTTTTTAAATTTCTTCCCTGGGAGGCAGGTTGTTTTTGTTTTTGGAAACCTCCTTCTCTGCAGATTTTGGCCTTGGCTCTAGCAAGGCATGGAACGCAGAATGGCTGAGGGCTAACAGGAGGACCGCCTGCTTGGGCAGAAAGCAAACTGCCAAGGACTCGTAACTATAATCATAAACTCTGCCGCGCTACTATAAATACGCGACAAACCACGGTGACTCATCTGCGAGGACAATGTTCAGAGAGTCGGAGCTATGCCTCTGGGTTGAGAGCCAAAGTTGAATCACTCTTTTCTTCATTTCTCTCCTTTTTCCTCTGGTTCACATGGGTCCAGAACACTGCATGTCATCCTTCTTTCTAAAAGGAACTCTTCTTGCTGTCTGTATTCATCTGATATCGCCGACAGGGTATTTCTTCTTGCCTCTTAACATGCCAATTTGCTATATAAAACATGTCCGATATTTCTTAAACACTTTGCAAATACTGTAGCTGACCCTGGGAGTTTGTGGATTCAGTTAATCGTGAATCAAATTAAATCCAGAGTTATGAAGGATCAGGGCTTCCCTGGTGTCTCAGGGAATCCTGAGAGAATTTGCCTGCAATGCAGGACACCTGGACTCGATCCCTAGGTCGGGAAGATCCCCTGGAAGAGGGAATGGCTACTGACTCCAGTATTCTTGCCTGGAGAATTCCATGGACAGACGAGCCTGGCAGGCAACAGTCCATGGGGTCACAAACAGTAGGACATGACTGAGGGACTAACACACACAAAGGACCAACCGTACTTCACCATTTTACAAGAGAGATTTGGGCATCCATGGATTTTGTACCTTTGAGGGTCCTAGAATCAACCCCCCTTAGGTACTTTGGGATGACTGTACTCACTGAAAATACCACCGCAGTTTTTCCACCAAGTACAGACCAATCTTCCCTCCTTGCTTTGGGCAATGGAGGACCAATGGAGGCCTGCTGCCTCTGAACGCTCAGAAGAAGGTGGCTTCCTGCCAGTGGGACAGGGTCCCCAGCCTGAACCTGTCGCACCTGTTCATCCCACTTGCAAAGTACAGCTGCTAACTGGACTCTGTGAGCTGTCTACTGAGGCTCACCTGGCAAAGCCATGGCAAGGTAGGCTGCCTCTGAATCAACATTATTTGCTACTTTCAATGGTTCGCTGCAAAATAAAGAGTGTCCCAAGATGATACATCTTCCGAGGTCTCATGAAAGCGTTTCAGGAAGAACTGACGGGCAAGGCCCAGGGGTGAGTAGGGCCAGGAATTACTTAAACCAAACAGGGCTTAAGGAAGTCAATTTTCAATGGAGTTTTAATAAACTTAAATTCAGCCACGTGTGTGTGTGGCTGTCCTGGCCTGTGAAGGTCTGGACGCTCTGTAATTCCACGGTGGGGTCACGGACCGCACTTAGAAGATCTGACGTAGGACTTGTAATCAGTTTTCCTAAACTCTCTTCTCCTTCCATCAGACGGACCGAGCCCCACTGGGTGCTGATGAAGGCTGATAACGTGCTCTTTGCCCAGGTGGCCTGAGGTCCTTGAAAGCAAAGACTTGTCTACTTCACTTTCACGTTCCCTCAAGGAGCAGCCAAGGGTATATAAAGTGTGCTGCAGGACTCAGCAACGAGCGGAGCCCTTTAAGACATCCACGTGCCCACAACGAGCAGAGCCCATTCACGAACCTGCGGACAGAATCCATCTCTTGTCCACCTGCCACCCTGGAAATGTGCTGTATCTGTACTGTCCCGTTTGGTAGCCTCCATCTACATGCGGTCCAGAGCACTCGAGATGACGCTTGCGTGACTGAGGAACTGAACTTAACATTTTATTTTACATTCAATAATTTCAATCTGAATAACCACACGTGACTAGAGGCTACTGTACTGGATAGTACAACTCCATGATGGGACTGCAAACCGCAACAGGGGGGTCTGACACGGAGGAAGGTGTGACCAGGCATCTCAGAGCCCTCAGACAGCCCCTAAACCCTCCTTCTCCCTTCACCAAAGCGACATAGCCCCTGACAGGCTCATACTGGCTCAAGTCACGCTCGCCTGGGCTCCTGCCTTGCAGAACATGCAAAAACCACTGTGCCCCACAGAGGAACTCACACCCTTCCACTGTAGCCTCAATGGCACTCTAAATTGGAGCAAGAGATAGCGATCATTTCAACAGAAGCATCATCCAAGCTCAGGTCACAAGGAAATAATGACCAGAGGATTATTCAGCCAGAGGTGTTAAGAACACAGATAAGCTGGAAACCATGTTTGCTGTGGTCAGGGAGAGCAGAGAGAGAGAGAGAACAGTCTCACACTTAAGTGTGAAGTGAGAGCCGTGATTCACCTGTGATGCCGAGAGAATGGTCAGGATGCATTTAAGGCTTTAATCCTAGGAGCTAGAGTGCTAGAATGGTAAAAATTTACAGATTAACCGAAGTGCCTTCTTGTTAATCCTTTGCTGTCGGGAGGCATCGTATGTTTCTACATTTTGGGCACAGCATGGGACTAAACAGAATGGATACTAATGACCATGGTTGACTTCCTAAAAAAAAAAAAAAAAAGATCCATTCCCATCACATTTTGTCATTTATGATCTGTGTCTTGTCCCCTTCAAAAAATGATTTGAGATAGCTTACTCTAAAATGTGCAGACATGGCAGAACAGTGAATTCATTAAGACCAGAGGAAAAATAAGACTCATTAATAGGACAGAGAAGAAAGAGTAAGGACTATGTCAGAAATCTGGGCTCTGGGAAGCTAATGCAACAGACTCTGACATGCAGCTCTTAGCTGCTTGCTAGTCAAGTGAACAGGGAACAAGTAAATCAGATATTATCTTACTGAATAATAAAAGGACTCAAGGCAGTATTTTAGGAGAGATGTATTGTGAAGGGAGTTTGTCACAATAAAAAAAAAAGACTATGGGGACATAAAAGAATTTGATGCAAACTGTCCTTGGCAAAAATTTAACAAAGAAAATCAGAGATGTTCTCTGCATGTTTTTTTTTTCTTTATACTAAATATTCATTAAAAACCAAAAGCGAACAAATGCCCTGAGGACAGACTGTGGATCTGAGAAGGTTTTCTGCAGACAGAGAGAAATGAACACACTTTCTGCGGTGGGGAATCTTGCAGCGATGAACGCTGACAACCTAGAGACATATTGCTTTAGTCAATATGTCCTCAACCTCTGGTGTACGGAATGGTTTAAAATGAGTCTTGCTCATCATCTGGAGAGAACACCATTCAAGAGAGCTAATGGGTGTGTGGATGGTAAGTTGCTGTCAATGACAAAAAGCGGGCAAGCTAATGACCCCAGGCACACAGCTTGTGGGGGAAGGCAGAGTGCGACTGATGTTCTCAGCCTGGCAGAGAGCACCCCAGGGAGCTGGCTGCCAGCTCTAGCCTCTGCCTCCTCTTAAATGGCCGTGGGGCATGAGCAAACTCCTCAACAGCCCCAACAAGGAGACCCAGGAAAGAGAGGAGCACAAGTTTCTTACTCTCGGTGCGGGCTCCGGTTCTGAGAGACCTCGGAATCACTGTCTTTAGGGGACAGGGAGCCCTTGTAGGTGTAGAACACGTCTTCGGTCTCGGTGATGTATGTCATCTCGTTGGCAAGGTTGTCCGCAGAGGAGTGCCGTGGCTTTCGGATCTCATGCCGGAGCCGAGGACTTCGCCTGGTGGGGAAAGGTGCAGAGCGAAGCGCTGAAAGCAGATTCTACTTAAGGATTCTATCAGACATCAGTGATCTAACCTCTGTGCCCTGACCGTCCCAAGGCTGGCTTTGCTGACGCTGCTGGAATTTAAGAGCTGGTTAACCCCCTCACTACACCAGGATCCACCAGGGGCTGCGTGGTCCCCGAGACTCTGAGCCCAGTGCTACAGCCCCTCAACTTCATAAACCGGCAGATGAGACTGGTTTGTGCCTTTGGGGAAGCTGTTGAGTGTCGGTTTAAGGGGAGTTATTCTTCCAAGAGCACTCAAGGTCTCAGTGCATAAGGAGGTCAAATTGGCTGCTCATCAGACAATTTTTCTGATTCATTTATGCAGTATAAATAGAAGGTTTGGAAGCTAAAGTGTTTTTTTTTTTTTTTTGGCAAAATTTGAACCTTATTTCAACTATATCCCCTAATGTCAATTTCACTTGATCCAAGAAGAAACGTTCGCTTTTCAAAATAGATCTAGGTGGTAGTGAAAGTGAAAGTGCCAGTTGCTCGGTCGTGTCCACCTCTTTGCAACCCCAAGGACTATAGTAGCACCGCTCTGTCCTTCCAATAGGAGCAGCAGCTGTGTGCCTTGAGGCAAGTCACTCTACCTCTCTGAGCCTCAGCTGTAACCATCTGGCTCCTGACAATGAGCCAAATGAGGCCATGCTCTCGGATGCCTGGGGTGACACCTGGGGTAGCACCTAGGCACTAGCGGCTCCTGCAGTCGGCAACTCTAGGCCGCTGAACTTTCTAAAATTTCATTTTCCTTGCTTTTTCATCTTCCCCTTCCTTTTTAGCCATTTCTCCTTGGGACTGTCAGGGCCTCCACTTTTGCAATCCCTTTGGGCCCGGAGGATCAATACACTGTGCCCAAAGCGGAGCAGAAAGGCTCGTGACTCCTCCCGAGAGGACCTATAAATAGCAGTGAGAGCCAAACCCCACTGTTCTCCTGCATGTTGTCCTGGCCTCTGCTACTAAGAGACTTGCAGACAAATTAAGCCGCTGCCTTAGAGCACACATGGACCACTATAGGATGAGTGCCTACATTTCAGAAACCAAGAATCAATCTACTCAGTCATGTTATAACATTCCAACACTAAACACTAAACACCATCACCATTCCTGCCCAGAGCATCTCGCCCCAGCAGAGTCCTTTCCCAGAAGCCCTGCACAACCACTCCCCTTCTGCCTGCCTGGCAGAATGCTTCTTAGTCTTGGTAGATCACTCCTTAAGAATTTATAGGTACACCCTGTCTATCAGGAAATGAACAGAAAGCCATAATCCTATTTTAGGGCGGAGTTGGGCCAAGGTTTCCAGCTTGGTCCCCCCTCCCCCCATAAGGCCTGGATGTTTTGGAGGCATTTAAAAAATGGCCTGATGTCTCTGAGGAACATTATACTAACAATAATAATAATAAAATAATAAAAATAACTAACGATAACAACAATTCTACCTAATCCTTTTTGTATAGCTAACAAAGCACTTGTACATTGTTAGCTCATTCAACCCCTTTACAGCTGGAAAGGCTGAGACCAGAGAGATAAACACATTTGTTAATGGACAGAAGAGCCAAAATCTGAGTCCAGGTCTTCCAGCTACAAGCCCAGTGCCCTTATCCACTTCACCAAACTGCCAATTCCTTCCTTTTAAGCCACATCCATCAACTTAGAAGTTGGCAGGCTACTTTCCAATGAGCATTTGCTACTGTTGCTGAGGGTCACACATCTTTCTGTCAGTTGTATTACATACCTTTACTATGTTTTCTCAAAGTTTATTTTGTTTGGTATTAATGGGAAACATGAGATTAAATAAAAGTTAAATATGCTTCTTTATCACAGGACTTCTCGAAACTTGAATATGCTAATGTATACTATAATTTCAAGAGGGGCACTTCAGTAGGCTGTGGTGCTCAAATTTATTTAGACCAAATAACTTTTTAAAAAAGAACATCCCAGGAACTTCCCGAGCAGTCTGGTGGTGGGGTGCAGGTTTGATTCCTGGCTGGGGAACTAAGATCCCCCAAGCCTTATGGCCAAAAAAACCCAAAACATAAAACAGTAGCAACACTGTAACAAGTTTGAAAGACTTACAAAAATTATATATAAAAAAAAGAACATCCAAACATCATACACTAAAAAAAAATCTAGCTACACTTGTGCATCTCATAAAAATAGTTACTTGTGCAATAGTCAAATATGCAAATGTAAACTCTCATCATAGACCATCTATAGTTAGGTTTTTATTTTTACTTAGTTTTTAAAAGAAATAAAGTGTTTACTGGTGGACAGTACCAAAAAAAGAAAGACATACCAGTTGGGAGTAATAGGAGGAGACCGGGAAGGTAGACTCTTGGTTTCTAAATGTTCCACCGATAAAGATCTCCGCATGGCTGGGTTCCACACCATCCCTCCAATCACCTTTTTGCAATACTGGTTATTTACAGACCTGAAAAACCAGATGCAGGTTCACTTTCTACACTGACATGTTCAACGAGATAGAAGTGATAGCATAAATGAGACAAACAGTCTGCACACGCTCCCTCCCTGACGCAGGGCCAGTTAACGCTTTGGTGACCCCGGCCGAGGTTCCCGGGAGTGGAGGCACCTGGGTCAGAGATTCCTTTCTGGGCTGGCTTTCCCTGACGTTCTTTCTTTTCTTAGGGTGAAAAAATATTTTCCTGTCCTTACTACTGCAAGCAACAAAACTGCTTTCAGAATGTAAACCACGCCTTACCAGATGAGAAGGAATTTCAGGATTAACGGTGAAACACCGTTCAAGGAACTTCAAGGAATTCTCACTTTTACTCACTGGCAGGAGTACAAACATTAACCATCCTTCCTGATGTTCTGTCATTCGAGCTGGCAGAAGCTGTCACCGTAAATCACTCAGAACTCTTTAAGAGCAGACCTGAGAAAATATGCTTAGACAGCAGAGTTTTGGGCTGTGTTCTTTGAATGTGTCACCCTAAAGGTTACTTTCAGATTTCATTTATACCTAGGTAATTTAAATCTCAGCTCTCTAGACCCCTCAGAGTATGAATTATTTGACAGGATGGAGTTGGAAACTAGTTTCCAGAAAACTCAGTCCTGGTACTTCTAAATTTTAAACGATGTTTTAGTACCTTAAAACATTTGACACATTTCCTTGCAGCCTAAAGCCAGCAAGCCAACAAAAATCATGACAAAAGACCTCAAAAGAACATAGGTGACATGAAGCACACCCTCTAGAATATCAATGTACTGATTTTCAATGAGAAATATGGCTGTCACCCTGATCAAAATCTCACAGCAGCATCACCAGGAGAATCCACATCAGAAACCCAATTATCGTTGATTGAGAGCACAGCATTGCAACAGTGGGAGCAAGCCAGATGATTCAAAGGTTGAATGTAGCAGTTCCCCAAAGTATGTGTCACAGGTTATTAATAGGTACTCTTTGGAAAAAGAAGTGTTCCACTGTCCCGTAAGCTTGGAAAATACCAAACAAGTTTCTTTCATGTGGAAGCTTTCATAGGCCCAATATGCGAATGTGTAATTATATCTCTAAGGGTTGGGCAAATCATGTAACCTAAGCCTCAGTTTCTCTATCTGTGAAACAGAGATAATGAGGGATGAGATTTGCCAGTATGCTGAAGCTGGGATTGGTGGTCAAGAACTGCTGACCTATGGCCACTGAGTCACCCTTCATAGCCCGTGACCCTCAGCTGCAGATTAAGGGGGGTGCAGAGGACAAGTTCTCTGACTCTTCCACCCAGAATGGCCTGTGACTGCTTTAACCAAGAGTAACTGTGCCAGGTCTGGGCCCAGCCTTTAAGATGACCAGCTGCTTCTGCCTTAGACTCTTGCAGTCCTGAGCCTCCGTGTAAGAAGTCTACTATGGGAGAGGCCCTGAGAAACACAGAGAAGATGGCGGTCCAGATGAGTACAGTCTTTTCATCATTCTGTCAAGGCACCAGGTGTGGAGAGGTGGTTCTGGACCCTCAGCCTAGCCCAGCCCAGCCCAGCCACATCTCACCAAGAAACCTCAATCCACATACTGCATGCAGTGGAAGAACCATCCAGTCACACCCTTCCTGAAAACATAACCCACAAGGTCTTGAGATATAAGAGAATGATTACTGCTCTAAGCCACCAAAATAAGGGTGGTTTCATCTGTCACAATGGATAACCAAAAAAAAAAAATCCTCCGTGTTGGCCACACTTTATAGAAGAAGAAATTGAAGAAGCAAATTAAATTAAAACTGATGTAGATCAGATTCGAAGCCAGGTTTCTTAGTAACAGAGTCCAGGCTTTCAGTTGCTCTCAATGACACTTCTCAGCTCACCGAGAGGATTAAGTCCAACCAAAATAAATGCTACATTCCAGCAAATTATGTTTATAGACATAGAAGATAGAAATAGAGTTACTGCAGGTATAAAATTACTGAATGGTTTCTTAAGCCAAAACCTTTAAAAATACATTTGTTCTTGGTTCATCAGAAACAGAGAGAGCATTTAGCACCATAAATACCATCAATGATATCAACAGACATTTACCACTTATTCAATCTAGAATGCTACTGATTACCAATATAGTAGGAAAGTCACTGAAATGGCCAAATGGTCTGATACAGTACCACATATCAGATAATGATTCAGACAGGGGTACCATTTTTAGTAACAGCCACATCAAAAAAAAAACCACAAAAATAAATTTTCCAACCAAACAATCTGAACAATACACTATAAACTAAAAAATTTCAATTTATAGATTTATTTTACTGTACTAATCATTAGGTATTTTGAATATCATTCCTATGAATAACAGCATACATGGAATTGCCATATTTAAAAAAGAATTAAACAATATGTGCGAGGAACAAAGTAAGCACTCAGTAATTGTCAGCTGCAATTATTGTTGTTCCTACCAAGTGACTGCTTGTGAGTGTCAGTTGCCTGACTCTGGAAATCTTTACTTCTGCTCATTCACTCATTCATTATTACAGAGCATCTTATGGAGTTAACGGTCAGTGGGAGAGGCTGTCTTAATGCCACCAAGATGGCCATGAGTCACTGCTGTGTGCTTTCTGGTGCTTTCATGGAGGAGTGGTTCCAACTGTGGGTGCTCCGGAGCTCTGAGTAATACAGAGCTGAGAAGGCAGAAGCAAGCAACAGGAGCAGAAGTGCCTGAGTGTGTGTGGAAGGAGACATTGCTGCCTGTCCCTGGAGAGACTTTCATCTGAGGTTCTAAGATCCACCCGCACCTCTGGCCCCAGGACGTGGGGCCTCCGGGGAAAGACATCTCTTTCCTGGAGGATGTCTGTTCCCCGGGGGGTTACTAGGATGGGCTGACATTTCAGGCTACTGTGGAGACTACCTCTAGAGAATACTCACTTTTTGGAGTTCCTAGAGCCCAGAGTCCAGTACTGAGACAGAACATTCTTTTCCTGAGGTAGCAGCTTCTTTGCCTGAAAGAATGTATGGTGCTCAACACAGGACTTCCACAAGTTTTTGCAAGATCGGTAATTTAACATGTTGAAGGCCACTATATGCTCCCTGGATTCCGTCTGGGAGAAAAAAACACAGTAGAGAATTCAGCTGCATATCTGTAGAAGTAGGGTCTCGAACACTTTATGCCCATATGAGTGGTAATCCAGGAAGAAACAACAGACAGTGGAAAACTGGCTTCAAAATTCCTTAGGCTACAAAACAGGGTTCTAAGAATATTCAACAGCAGGAGTTGTTAACCATCTTTATGCATGTGGTAAAAAAAAAGAAAAGATCACCAGCGTCAAACTCTCCATCACCCTCTGTGGCCTTTCATGGATGCTTTCATTTCACATCTGTCTACCTTTCTAGGTCGGATATATTTGGAGCAATAGAATAAGGGCTGTCTGATACAATCCTTTTTAAAATTTAGCTCTGGGAAAAATCTCTCCCCTGAAGAAATAATCTTTCACCTGTCAAATGACAGGAATCTTATAACGCTTTGGATCTCTATTCGCTTTCCACAAAGCGAGTTAAATCTAGTGCTCACTCAAAATCATCATTTTGATCATTTGCTCAATTTCTCTCCTACTTGAATTCAGGTTTTCTGTTTTCATGTTAAATTACCATCCTGTGCATTTCTGCGGTACCCTGCATCTTGCATGTGGGGCTTGGGAGACCCAGATTCTAGTCCTTATTTGCTCTGAGCTTTAGTGTTCTCATTCCTAAGAGTTCACTGTGGTGTGGAGCCATTTTAAGCACACATTGTCTTTGGAAAATTGGGAAGTGGCATAGTGACGGTAAGTGAAAAATATGCAGCCTAACAAACAAGACAGAGTGTGGTGTCATGGTAAGAGCTGGCAGCTCAGATTTATAACAACTGGTTCAAATTCCAGCTCTTCCACCTTGCTAGCTGTGGATTCTCTCAACTCTAAGTCACTCTTCTCCAAGTGAAAAAGCAAGCTGAGTTATCTGGACGGCTGTGGATTCCTCCTATGAGGCATACACCCAAGGCCACCATGCATTTTAAACACATCAAGGGCAGAAACTGACCTTGCGGACTTTCACTGCTATTTCTATGGTGGGCTTGGCCAGGGGCTTTGACAAATGGCACTTCTACCTAAATCAGGTGATTCCCTGAGAAGTGGGCATTGCTGGGTTCCAGCAAAAAAGGTAACTCTGACTAGGGGAGGTTACGTAACCTGCCCAGCTGGGCAAGTGGAAGAGCTAGGGCCTGAACCCAACGTCTGTGGCTCCAAAGCAAGCGACTTTCCTAGCCAGATAAGCAGAGTGAATTACACAGAGAACCACGGGGCCCTCTGGATCCCAACGCCCACTTTCTTTCCACCGCTTGCTAAGCTCTCTCTTCCCTGTTAAATGTACGACAAACACCATCACCTACCGAAGGGCTAAGAGCTGAAGTGGCTAAAAGCAAAAGGACCAAAGTGAGCAGAGGTTTAACTCACCTGTTTTTGTCGCTGATGTATAAAGAATTTTTTCCTTTTGAAAGAAATTTTTAGAATGTTCACCCTGCCGAAAAAAAATAAAACGACACAAAAAAAGCACATCAGGGAGCAGCCGGGTTGCAGCTGACGCCTCTCGGTGTGTGTCCTCTAGTCCACGGTCATGATGGCCAGGGGCTCTCGGCTTCCTAGACTTCGCTTCAGCGTAGAAAGGATGGCGGCCCCATGGCCCCGGCCAAGCACCAAGTGGCTGACCGAAGCCGAGTGTCACATCAGGGCCACTGGATTATGATGTAGCTCTTAAACAACGAGGACCACGGGCAAGGCGCTCCTTTTGCTGTCAGCTGTTCTGTGACGCGGCAGGTCCAGGGGAGCTGGTGTGTACCTGGGCAAGACAGCTGAGGGCAGTGTGGAGCAGTGGGAGGAGCACAGACAGACACAGATCCGCCGCCCAGCTGCTATGCGACTTAAAAGTCACTTAACAGCCATGTGTCAACTAGCCGCTTGTCTGCAGAGTAACACAATGAGAGCCACCAAGAACTGAGCCTTTTTTATGCACCAAATCCTCTACTTCAAGCTTTATGGCAGCCCCTCTGCTAAGCCCTGCAGCAGTCCTGAAAACTACTTATCGTTATAACCAATTTTCAAATGAGGAAACTAAGGCTGGGAGATATCCCATAAGTGCTCAAGATCATCCATCCAGAGATGCTTGAAGCCAGGATGGGAGCATGTACTCTTAATTCCTCCAGCAGAGAGCCTTTGGAACAAGGGGAACAGCACTGCCTTTCTCAGATTTGTGATGATTCAAGTCTTTTGGGTCTCCTCAGGTTTTAGACCAGAATTGGGCACTTGACAAAGCTTCAATTAATAACACAGGAACGGCACAGAAAATACAACCTCTGCTCAGAGGAAGTTCTCTGAATTCTGGCTCACGTGCCGCCCAGGAAGGATTCCTTAGCACCAAAACCTGCCTTGAGCTGTTTTTATCCATGTTTCACAGAGTATCCCAAACCATCGGGTGACCAAGGCAGAATGGAATGGCCAGTAATAACCAGAAGAATTTTCCCAAGTACAGAATCTGGATGAATTGTAGAGCAGAGGTAAAAACTTGGGAGAAAGTCTCTGTCCCTTCTTTAGAAATAAAAGTTTAAAATTAGAGGTACCGTTACTTTTGTTCAGCATATTTTTAAAGCATGATTCAGAGAATAATTAGAACTGGTTTGCACTTACCAAGGATAGAAACTTGTGCAAATATATTTTCGGTACACAGCAATGCCCGCAGAAGCAATTCCAATCATTAGATCTAAATTGTGCAGATCCTGGAAAACAGGAAGACTTCAGATTCACAGTGTGTTACCGTCATGCTTATGGCCTCTGATAACTCAAGCACCCACGCATTTATAAATAGCACTAAGTATGAGCTCCAAAGGGAAAATTACAGAAAACAGGCAAAAATCTCCTCTTAACAGATAAACTTGAGATCTAAGTACTTAGCACCAAATTCTCCTAAAGTGAAAATATATTGCCTGACAGCAACACCTGGGTCCTGCCAGTTTACAAAGTTCTTAAGCAAGCTCACTCATTCCACAGCATCAGAGAAATGAACATCTGCCTTTACACTTTCAATAATTAGTATCAGACACCGTATTAAAAACAGAAAAGCCTCGTCCCCCACACTGCTTTAAACAAATCTCAACTCCCATCACTGCAAAAGCTTTAGCTGAAGTGTAGCACTGCTGATTCTAAACCCAATGAAGAAATAAAATATGGCTTTTAGATCCAATACATTCAACATTTTTAAGAGCCTATGTGCTAGGCATTGTTGTAGATAATTAAGATGACAAAGATACAGTGACAAAAGCTGTTTTAAATCTGTTAAAGGACAGGTAATGAAAATTTTAAAATAAAACAGTTTCATCATGGGGAATTCCCTGGCGGTCCAGTGGTTAGTACTCCGCTTCCACTGCTGGGAACCCGGGTCTGATCCCTGGTTGGGGAACTGAGATCCTGCATGTTGTGCAGCATGGCCAAAGAACAATACAAACCAAAGGAAAACAGTTCCTCCTCCTGAGTCATCTATATTCTATTTACCCACTTGGATACTCATAATTTTATTTTTGATGTGGACCATTTTATAAAAGTCTTTATTGAATTTGGTAAAATACTGCTTCTGTTTTTAAGGTTTGGTTCTTTGGCCTCAAGGAGTGCGAGATCTTAGCTTCTGGACCAGGGATTGAGCCTGTATCCCCTACACTGGAAGGTGAATAACTGATCCACTGGACCACCAGGGAAGTCCCCCTTAATTTTCAAGAAGGGGCAGAGTTACCAGTGAGTATGAACCTTAGGTCTGTCACTTACTAGCTATGTTGGTTTGGGCTCCTGAGCCTAAATTTTTCCTTTTGTGCAATAAAGACTATCGAATCCACCTCTAAGAGTTTTATCAGGTTGAACTTAGAGAATATAAGAACGTAGAACAGGGCCTGGCATGTGGTAGGCATAATAAACATTCATCTCCTTCACCTCTCAAGAGATAGTGGGATGCATCACTTATGAAGAGTGACGTGCATGTGGGGAGTTGGAGAAACTGACCAAAGCAAATGCTGCTGACACGTGGACCATCCAGAGAGTAAACACAACTGGGCACCCAGCTGAAATCACACACAGAAAGCAAAACCAAACTGCAAGCTGAAAACCAGGGTGGCATCGAAACATGATACTTAGAATTGGAATACATGGAAATATGAGGCAGGTGGGAGAGAAAATTAGCAAACAAAATAAAAATTGAGTGCAGAATAAAACAATAAATGAATGCTTTGGGTGGGCCAGTGACATGGGTCTCAAATCTCCTGGTTGCATGGTGCTCCTGTCTGCACCACACCCACAGCAGTGAAGACAGGTACTGTCGGCTAAATTTAGGCCCATCTCCACACCTCCCAGTTCGTGGAGCAGGACTGTGTGACTAGTCCTGGCTAATGAGCTATGATCAGAAGTGATGCATCCCCTTGGGATATCGAATCCACCTCTAAGAGTTTTATCAGGTTGAACTTAGAGAATATAAGAACGTAGAACAGGGCCTGGCATGTGGTAGGCATAATAAACATTCATCTCCTTCACCTCTCAAGAGATAGTGGGATGCATCACTTATGAACAGTGACGTGCATGTGGGGAGTTGGAGAAACTGACCAAAGCAAATGCTGCTGACACGTGGACCATCCAGAGAGTAAACACAACTGGGCACCCAGCTGAAATCACACACAGAAAGCAAAACCAAACTGCAAGCTGAAAACCAGGGTGGCATCGAAACATGATACTTAGAATTGGAATACATGGAAATATGAGGCAGGTGGGAGAGAAAATTAGCAAACAAAATAAAAATTGAGTGCAGAATAAAACAATAAATGAATGCTTTGGGTGGGCCAGTGACATGGGTCTCAAATCTCCTGGTTGCATGGTGCTCCTGTCTGCACCACACCCACAGCAGTGAAGACAGGTACTGTCGGCTAAATTTAGGCCCATCTCCACACCTCCCAGTTCGTGGAGCAGGACTGTGTGACTAGTCCTGGCTAATGAGCTATGATCAGAAGTGATGCATCCCCTTGGGACTGCAACATTTAAGAGCTGGTGTTCGGCCCTCCAACTTGCTCTTCCCTTGTGACATGCGTTAAGCCATGTGTGAGGACAGTGAAGTCACCAGATGGAAGCAGCCTAGCTGTCTAGTCACTGCTCGGAGGGGGGCTGCCCTGGAGTCACCAGGACCCATGCAGACTAGGACTACTGAGGAACACGCTTTGTGGCGTCAAGCTATTGATTTCAGGGGGTTGATGCAGCTTAGTCAAGGGTAACCCAGCTCTCTCTGATACCGTGGGGGTGTCAGGCAGGCAGGTCATCAACTAGCCTCAGGACCCTCATGAGACAGACATAAAGCCCACCTCACCACTGAAGGAAAGGTTTCATAATGTTCTACCAGACAAAACAGTATTTGCAAATGGAATAAAATTTAACAGTCAAGTCCCAAAGTTGATGTTTTGTAAGATCCGGATCTCTTCCTACTCTATTATCTATGTCAAAGGCTATGTTTTTTCCAGTGGTCATGTATGGATGTGTGAGAGTTGGACTATAAAAAAGGCTGAGCGCAGAAGAATGGATGCTTTTGAACTGTGGTGTTGGAGGAGACTCTTGAGAGTCCCTTGGATTGCAAGGAGATCCAACCAGTCCATCCTAAAGGAGATCAGTCCTAAATATTCACTGGAAGGACTGATGATGAAGCTGAAACTCCAATGCTTTGACCACCTGACACAAAGAGCTGACTCATTTGAAAAGACCCTGATGCTGGGAAAGATTTGGGGCAGGAGGAGAAGGGGACGACAGAGGATGAGATGGTTGGATGGCATCACCGACTCAATGAACATGNGTTCAGAAATTAAAATTGAAAAAACTTTTGAATTACAACATGCTGAAGGTACCTACCCTACCGCTGTGCAGTTCCACTCCGTAGAAGTCGAGGGTCTGAGCTATGTTGATAAAGCAAGATTCCGCTTCTGATTGCTTTAGCCCAGCCGAAGCGAGCACATAAATATTATATATATATAAAATATAAACTTTTCAGATACCTTAAAAAAAAGATCTTTTTTATTTGAAACTGGAAAAGTTTCAAAGCAGCTTTCAGATGTTCAGAAATTAAAATTGAAAAAACTTTTGAATTACAACATGCTGAAGGTACCTACCCTACCGCTGTGCAGTTCCACTCCGTAGAAGTCGAGGGTCTGAGCTATGTTGATAAAGCAAGATTCCGCTTCTGATTGCTTTAGCCCAGCCGAAGCGAGCACATAAATATTATATATATATAAAATATAAACTTTTCAGATACCTTAAAAAAAAGATCTTTTTTATTTGAAACTGGAAAAGTTTCAAAGCAGCTTTCAGATGTTCAGAAATTAAAATTGAAAAAACTTTTGAATTACAACATGCTGAAGGTACCTACCCTACCGCTGTGCAGTTCCACTCCGTAGAAGTCGAGGGTCTGAGCTATGTTGATAAAGCAAGATTCCGCTTCTGATTGCTTTAGCCCAGCCGAAGCGAGCACATAAATATTATATATATATAAAATATAAACTTTTCAGATACCTTAAAAAAAAGATCTTTTTTATTTGAAACTGGAAAAGTTTCAAAGCAGCTTTCAGATGTTCAGAAATTAAAATTGAAAAAACTTTTGAATTACAACATGCTGAAGGTACCTACCCTACCGCTGTGCAGTTCCACTCCGTAGAAGTCGAGGGTCTGAGCTATGTTGATAAAGCAAGATTCCGCTTCTGATTGCTTTAGCCCAGCCGAAGCGAGCACATAAATATTATATATATATAAAATATAAACTTTTCAGATACCTTAAAAAAAAGATCTTTTTTATTTGAAACTGGAAAAGTTTCAAAGCAGCTTTCAGATGTTCAGAAATTAAAATTGAAAAAACTTTTGAATTACAACATGCTGAAGGTACCTACCCTACCGCTGTGCAGTTCCACTCCGTAGAAGTCGAGGGTCTGAGCTATGTTGATAAAGCAAGATTCCGCTTCTGATTGCTTTAGCCCAGCCGAAGCGAGCACATAAATATTATATATATATAAAATATAAACTTTTCAGATACCTTAAAAAAAAGATCTTTTTTATTTGAAACTGGAAAAGTTTCAAAGCAGCTTTCAGATGTTCAGAAATTAAAATTGAAAAAACTTTTGAATTACAACATGCTGAAGGTACCTACCCTACCGCTGTGCAGTTCCACTCCGTAGAAGTCGAGGGTCTGAGCTATGTTGATAAAGCAAGATTCCGCTTCTGATTGCTTTAGCCCAGCCGAAGCGAGCACATAAATATTATATATATATAAAATATAAACTTTTCAGATACCTTAAAAAAAAGATCTTTTTTATTTGAAACTGGAAAAGTTTCAAAGCAGCTTTCAGATGTTCAGAAACTAAAATTGAAAAAAACTTTTGAATTACAACATGCTGAAGGTACCTACCCTACCGCTGTGCAGTTCCACTCCGTAGAAGTCGAGGGTCCGAGCTATGTTGATAAAGCAAGATTCCGCTTCTGATTGCTTTAGCCCACTATAGAGGCAGAGGGAATACACAGTGTTTATCCAACAAACAGAACATTAACTCCCAATTTTAAAGCTAATAAAAATCTTACAAAATTGGTATCATTACTATAAGGTGATTAAATGCCTTACACTGTTCATCTTAAACAACTGAACCCCCAAAGCTACTAAACCAGGCTTTTTTCCTTGTCCACGGTTTATGACTTCATTTAGCCCTCATGTTCCTATATTAAATAACACCTGGCATTGAGTGGATTCTCAACATCCAGAGACAAAGACTGTCACCTTCTGCCATCCCCACCCCACTTTTTCCAGGTTGCTAAATGAGCACACGCTCTTTAGCCCTTTCGGCCTTCATCTATCCTTTCAGCAGCAGCCTCAAACTCCCAAACGTCACGGTACTATTTTAGGACGCTGGCTCCTGCATGGGGAGCAATTCTGGGAGAGGATGGGCAGTGCCTCTTTGAAGGGACACTGGGTGCTTAGGCCTTTGCTTCTTACGGCCTTCTTGAGAATGTGAGGTCCCTTGAGACCCGGCCTTCTGGGTCAGGGTGGCCCTTATTTGACCCGGCTGGATGGAGCCAGTGCAGCTTGAAGAGAAGGAGGCAAGGGAAGAGGAGGCCAGATTAGGGTGAATGTGCTGGAATGGAGGCTTGGCCCGAGGCAGCTACAGAAGGCTGGAAGGAAGGCGGATTCACCAACTGAACCAGTGAGGGTTGGGGTTTACCCAGCCTGACGGCTCTTAGGTCCGTCTGCCTGTCTGTCTATTCAATACCACTTAAGGAAACGGCCCATTTCATTAAACGTAGGAAACAGTTCAAAGATTTGTTTGGTAGAGTCAATGTGTGGGGCAGCCAAATTTACAACTGGCATTTCCTTCAGGAATTAATGGATTTCAATGACATCTGAAAAAGAACACAGCAAGTCATCCCGAATTCTCATAGGATTTCACACTTTACAGAAATGCTAGTTATGCCAAATATATCTGTCACCATAAGAGCTCAAGGTTCACCAACCTCTCACTTCTTGAAAGAACGCTCATGGGCAAAAGCCAGAGAAGACGACATCAAACCCAAGGGGGTGCGAGGTCTGACAGCACCGACCTGAGTTTCCAAAGTAGGTCACCTGCCCCTCCTCACCTGTGCTGCTCATGAAGCGACTCCACCTTCGCTAAGAAGTCCTCGTTCTGATCTGGTATGAACTGACTATCAGAGAGATAGCCCGGAGGATGAACGGAAGAATCGTAGTCTCCAAAATGAGCTATCAAGACAGAATGAGGGGAACAGCATCTTTTCAATGTGGTCTGTATTTATAAGCATCTACAACATCACAAGAAGAAAAATTCATCAGAAATACTCTCTATTAATATCAATGTCTCCCATCCCAGAAGGAAAGGAGATGAGTGAGGTGGTTGCTTAAGTGAATTTCATCCCCAATCTGCAAAGTCAGATACAAGGGTTTTTTGCCTTAAAATTAACTGGGTTGGCCCAACCCCCAACGCCAACAAAAAAAAAAAACGCCCCTTGAGAACCGGGCCGGGAAGAAAGGAACCGGGGTCCCCCTTCAACGGTCCCTGAAGGCCGGGAAGAACCCAAAACCAACCCCTGAACCCGGCAACAAGGCATGGCACGCAGTAGGTACTTGGGTGCTTGGAACTGAGCTGTAAAGAGGCTACTGCAAAGCTCAGCTTTGCAAGGGGAAAAGGGCAGACTTGGTCATGGGCGGACCACAGGCCAGGAAGGCCAGCCAATGTGGCTAAGCTGTGGACGGGAGTGTCAAGGCTGTACTATGTAAGCACAAGTGTGGCTTACAGGTGAGTCTGTTCATGGTGAAGAGTATGACTGTGCATTTACAGGAAGCAACTTAGATGCCCTTAGGCAGGATCCCCAAAGAAGAAAGCTTGAGGAAGCCTTAGAATCAGCTCACCCGAACTCCGAGTCTTGAAGGAAAAGAAACCTGAGGTCCAGAGATGAGAAAGGACCTACCCCTATCACAGAGCCATTTTTCAGCAGTCAAGGCCAGACCCAGCTAGAGCTCCCATCATTCTACCAGCCTGCCTGCCAGGCCTATGAGTTGCTGCTGGCCATTTGCAGATGACAGTGGTCTTGTCCCCAGAGGGAAACCAAACCCTGCAAATGGCTTTCCTGAGGTCAAACAACTCAAGGCAGAGTCCTATTAAATTGAATGCTGCATGTTACATCAGTTCATGAAGATCTTAGAGCTTGATTTGGTCTTCCATCATGTTAATGAATAGTCCCAACCCCTGTGCCTTTCTGCAAACACAGAGCAAGTTTCTCTCTTTAGTCAGGTCACTGACAAATATCTGTACTTAATATAAGACCAAAGAACCCCCTCTAAGGGGTTCTGTAAGGGTCAAAGGGCATTATATAAAAATACGTTATTTTCAAAACCTTCATTCTTTGACCCTCCCAGACCCTTGAACTCTTAGTCGGCTACTCTGCAATGCCCGGTGCTAACCACTAGGGGGAGACAAAGTTAAGCAGTCTTTGGAAACCATCTGCAAAGCACAGGGCAGTCTCCACATTGAATTTAATGACCAATGAAATCATCCCATTAGATGCTCTTGATAACCTAGTGACAGGCATTGCTTTTATCGCCATTAAACAGATAAAGGAACTGAGACTCAAGGAAGGAACCCGCCCACGGCTGCCCAGACTGGTAAGTTGGAGCCTAGACCCTGACCACAGTCCACCCTCTTTATCTACTTACTGTACCACATGCCCTGAACTCCAGAGCAACACACTTTTCTATTTGTGGGGAAGCAACACATGAGAAAACTAATTATAGCAAAAAGAAAAGGAAATAAATGCTTATGTGGGAAATACCTTGTCTTTTAAGTCCCATGCATTCTTCTGGCTGATATTTTGTATTCTGCAGGACACAGACTGTCTCAGGTACTCAAATGCATGGTGTGTCAAGCTTTCCTGCTGGGAAAGCCCTTGACTTGCTATTCATCCTAGTCCAACTTGATCTTGGAGGCTCTTCTTAGGGGTCATCACTAGGAAGCTTTCCCACACTATGTCCCCCTGTACCTCCTATCCCCCCGCCAAGGAGAACAGAGCGGTGCCTCCCCCATGCCCATCCTCACTGCCAGCATCCACTGGTCCATCTCTGTCTCCCACCAGGCTGCAGACCCCTTGCAGAGAGCAGTCATGCTCTCTGTGCAACTCGGGGATGGTGCAGAACCCACACATGGCAGAGGCTCAGAGACCATTATAGAACAAATACGTTATTTTCAAACACTTCGTTCTCTAACCCTCACTGATCCTTGGCAGGCCACCAGCAATTTTTCACCCTCAAGTCCTTTCAGGTTCTTTATCCACAGATCACTTTACTTTTTATCTATGTCAGAACACGTGCTTTTGGTTGGCTTCGCTGACCACTGGTAGGCTTGTCTTCATGTCAGATGTCTCTCTGGGACAATCTGGCAAAGTGTATCAGATAAAATTTAGGTTTGCTCTTTGATCAAGCAATTTCATATCCAAGAATTAATCTTACAGAAATATATGCACAGAAGTGTAAGAAAATGTATGTAGGTATATATACTTGAGGGTGGAGGAATAAGAAACCTCTACTTAAAACTGCTCATCTGACAACTTACGATATTATTAGCATGACAGCCATGCTCAAATTTGCATTGCAGCTAGTTGACTTTTTAAATGCTCATAACTTTCTTTAGTCCCTATTTCTATTGATTCTTTGTAGAGGGAAACCTGACTGCTGAAACTTAGGAATTTTATTTGGGATTCTAAATTTGGCCACCGGATTCAAAGAGCTGACTCACTGGGAAAAGACCCTGATGCTGGCAAAGACTGAAGGCAGAAAGAGAAGGGGGTGACAAGAGTATGAGATGGTTGGACAGCATCACCAATTCAATGGACATGAGTTTGAGCAAACTCTAGGAGATAGTGAAGGACAGAGGAGCTTGGCATGCTACAGTCCATGAGGTCGCAGTCAGACATGACTTAGCAACCGAACAACAACAACAACAAATAGTTTGTTTACAATAGACTGTTCCCTTTTAAGACTTTTTTTTTTTGATGTGGACTATTTTTTAAAGTCTTTATTGAATTTGTTACAATATTGCTTCTGTTATGTTCTAGGTTTTTGGCCATGGGGCATGTGGGATCTTAGCTTCTTGACTAGGGATCAAACCCACACCCTCTCTATGGGAAGGCAAAAGTCTTAACCAAAAGACTACCAGGGAAGTCCCCAACAGGCTGTTCTTTAGACAGCTTTCTGCTGGGCAGAAAAGAAAATACAGTACGAGTTAAACATTGTAATATTTGCCATCAGCCAGGCACTATTTTAAGAGTTTTACATCTATTTCATTTTCACTATGACCCTATGATTAGATACTGTTATCATCCCTACCCGACAGATAAAGTTGAGGCTCAAAGTCAGGTAGGTATAATTGGAAGACCCGAGGCCCAGGTAGTGTGGCTTCAGCCTGTGTTTTCACTGACTCAGTTAATAGCGATGGTCCAACTCTAAAGAGTTTTCTAGTTACCACCTTCCCAGGTGATACATGAACTGAGCAGTCGTATTCCAAGCTGTCCTAATCACCATCATCACCTCCATCTTACAGGTGAGACTCAGAGAGGTAACACTACATTAGAAGCGATGGAGGGCCAGGTTTAACTGGAGTTTGAATACAAAGCGAAGTCCTTCCTCCTGCTCCTGTCCTTCACACCCGAAGCTTTAGCGGCGGGTACCAAATGCACTCTGAGATACGGGAAAAACCTCTCCTCAGCCGACCAGCCTGGCAGAGATGGGGTCCACTGGGTCTCGTGACCACTAAGAACGCAGGCTGGCTGGTGTCATTTCCCACGTGATGGGACAAAGCCAGGTCCGTGTCAGCTGTACTGAAGGGAGCGGGGACCTTTCATCCACCCAAGCTCACCCCGGGCCACCTCTTCCACATCTCCCGCTGGGGAGAAGGGGATGCGGGTGGTGTGGGGAGATGACTGAGTAAGAGGATTCTTCCTTCAGCTTAAGCAGGCCTTGATGGAAAATTCCATCTGGACTTGCCATCCCACATGGCAGCCACTAACCACATGTGGCTATCAAGCACTTGACATGTGGCTGTTCCAAACTGAGATGTGCTGGGAGTGTAAAACCTGGACTGGTTTCAAAGACCTACTGTGAAAAAAAAAAGTAAAATACCTTAACTGTTTTTACATGGATTACACATTAACATAATATTCTGAATCTACTGAGCTAAGTACATTAATATGATCCATTTCATTTTACTTTAATATGGCTACCAGAAAGCTTAAAACTACATGTGCAGCTCCCATTATATTTCTATTCTACTGTGCTGCTCCAGGCCTATAACCCATCACGCTACTGAAACTAAAAATAAATTCCTAAGATCCCAGCAGTGTCTCCGAGCAGTACCCAGCAAGTACTGGGAGTGACCTCCAGCAAATTTCTGAACCTATCTGGGTCTTGGTGGTAGAAGCATTTGCCCCACTGGGATTTGTTACAGAGTCAAATCTGATTGTGACTGAAGGCATTGGAAACTGACTGAAGGTATTGGAAAATGTAATGTGTGATAGGATTCTTCTGTCTTCTGGGCTCCCCTGGGAGAAAACCTCATTTTCCCTAATTGAACATCCCTGAGCCTCAAGAGAATGTAAGTTAGGATGAAAAGTGGGACCATCCAGACAGCCAGAGATGTTGCCCAACAGGATTCCGGGGGAAGGGAGAAAGGGACTCGGAAAAACAGGAGAGGCCATCGAGTTTCTTAATATTCTGGTCAGAGCAAGCTGTCCATCCACGAAACACTCATTTGTGACTTACATTGTACTGCATAGGATGCTAGAACCACCGCTGAGTTAAGAGGGCAGGTTAACCTGTCAGGAGAAAAACACATTAGGAAAGTTACCAGAACCCACCACAGCCTGAGACAGCAATTGATCATGGGTAGCACGTGCCTTTTTCTTGGATTAACCATTTAAAAACATCCCGAATGATAACAAAGAATTTTAGGATACTCAAAACAGTAAAGATAAATGTAACACACTGAAGAGTTTTTGAAGTTAAGACAGAATTTTCCCATTTTTAAAATAAAACATTATTAATACAAATACCATGAGGCTAAAGGTCTGATGTCGGCTAGGGTTTGGCTGGTCAAGAAAGGTCAGGCTCATATCACTAAGAGGAAAAGTGTACTCTTAGGTCAATGGGCAGGCAGTCTTTGTCTCTTTCTGGTAAAGATGTGAGACCTCTCCTAGGACTAACTGAATTCCTAAATTCTGTTAACTCTGATTCTTGATTACCCGCTTTCCAAAAGGGTCACCTCCTTTTAAAAGGGAAAAACAGAAAAGTATTCTGAATTTTAAAACCCCTGTGAGTTCTCAATTATTTGATTAGTTACTATGATGTAAGACTCCTAAATCTATTCACCTTCCTGAAACTTCCCACCTAGAAGCAATGTTCAGCCACACCTCAGTCTTCCTGCGTCCACCAGAAATCCACAAACCCAAGTTGGACATGTCTTCCTTCTTTCCTCCTGAGCTCAGCGCCCTCCCAAACACCCTGTCTGGGTCAAAGACTCTATCTCTGTCTCTGTTATATTCCGAACTATCTGGTGGCTCCCTTCTCTCCATTCAACCTCGGATTTCACAGTCTGCCTAGGAGCTCATTCAGCAGATCTGGGCCGGGGATCACTGCCAGGTAGGGGAACACATGAATGGCAGCAAGGGTGAGGGCTTGGAGGGTTGGGTGGGTGGTGGTGGGGGGGCAGGGACACAGAGTTTAAAAGCATTCCGCCCAGCAACCCCGTGGGAAGTGGAGAAAACATGCAGTTTCCATGGCAGCCCATCAAGTTCCCAAGATATGAGTCACCCCCACCTCCCTGACTAATCTGGCTGGCTCACCAGGGCTCCCCTCCTGGTCTGCTGTGCTGTGCGCTGGTCCTGAAGCTGAATATGAATATGGAGGTAGCCCGGAGGGGGCCCCCATCTTTCAAGTAACCCTGTGTTCCCGCTAGAACTTCTAAATGCAGATACATCTAGGGATACTTGCTATCTATCCAATCATCTGGAGACTCAGCCCATGGGGACAGCAAAGGTCAGCATTCACTCTCCCACCAAGATGGGCTTCAGTGAAGTCAAAGCTGGCATCCTGCTACAGGAAGAGCCTGTGAATGGGGTTTGGGGAACAGCTTAGAGTGGCTAAAGGGGTTCAGTCTAGATGGAAGGAACAACCCTATGAGTAAGTCAGAAAAGAACATTTCCAAAGAATGGCGTAAATAACAAACTAAAGAACACCGTGTTCTTCGACAGATTCCTCTCTTTCTCAGTAAGTTTCAGGGTCTCCACCTGTCAGACAAGATCGCCTATCTCAGCAGGAAGGAGAGGATGAACAAACCCTTCCTAGCCCAGGAGAAATGCTAACCAGATCCACCAGCTCTGTCAAGAGATCCACGGTTTGTAAGGGCCAGATGCCGCCCTGACCCCACACCCCTCGCCCCCGAGATGAGGGCCGACTGCAGGCCTCACAAGGTGCCAGGGATCTGAGCCAGGACATGGGCCTCAATAGGTTTCTCCTGTTGAAAATGAAGATGACCAATTTCCAACACTTGAAGAGCCAGACTGGAAGCTCCTGAGGGTAGGGGTGGGGGCCCAGCCTCATCTGACCAGCACCGTCAGTGCCCGTCTTGTTAAGAGGTGCTCACAAAACGTGTGGGGAAAACACGGTGGTGTGCAGAAAAGAGAGACACAACCGTTTCTGCTGCCACAGAGGGCTGCCTGGACCCAGGGCAGGGGTGACCATTTCAGCCGAGAGCTCCCCTGAAATACGAGGCTGCCTCAGGAAAGGGTGGGCACCGGGTTATGGGAGGGGTCCTCTCTCTCCCCCTGGGTTCTCTCAGAAGCCCCTGGCAGGGGGTCTCCAACTGGGACTGTGGGGGTAGGGGGGTGTCCTCACTGCCCAGTGAGATTCATTAAACTGGTAAGAACAGAGACTACGCTTGATCTTAGCCAAGAGGCCAAGAAGTGACTTATCTCCTCATGTCCTGCTTATTGTGCTACAGAAGGGACTTGTTCCGCCCTCAAATGGGAAGATGAGCCGAACTTCAGAAACGGTCTAGGGCCACTAGGCCATCAAGTTCTGGCGATCCTTTCTTCGAGCGGTGTCTTGCTTCTAACTGTCCCTCCCGCCCCCCACTCCTTGCCCCCGATTCTCTGGCCTGGATGCCTTTTAACAGCTCCCTCAAGGGCTGCACCTTCCCTCCGTCCCACCCAGACAGAAGCTCCTCAGCCTCTTCCAGCCTTCCCTGGAGACGCTGCTCCTGCCAGATCCATCTTGCTTAAACACCCCTGACAGCGCCGCTCTGCCTGCTGGATCCAAGACGCAGCCTGCGTGAAGAGCTCTCCTTCCCTCCCTCCCCCTTCTCTCTCAAGCCCCCAGCATGTGGTCTCCAACTGGGACTGTGGGGCATGGGGTGCTGTCCTCTCTGCCCAAGGAGATCTGACTCCTCACATCTCCACCAGCCCCCAACCCCCAGCTCATCACAGCGGTCCACACTCTTCCCAAAGCTCACACTGGCATCGCCTTCTCCTAATGCCTGTGGCGGCTGTGCTCTCCTCTCCGCATGCTGGTTCCAGCTGCTTCACCGGCTCCTGTCTCGTTTCTCCGATGAGACCTCAAGCTCCCAAGTGGAAGCACAGTGGGGGCTTCCAAAGACCCTCCCCAGTAGGAGCAGGAAGTGGGAAGGACAGGAGCCAAACACGGCTGCTCCCACCTGTTCGCCTGCTGCAGTGTCTCCGGTAAGTCAAGGAAAACTGAACGCTGGAGAAGGTGGCTGGCTCAGGGACCACTGTCTTGGAGTCTCCCCCCTCCCTGAGCCTCTCAGATAACTCTGCAGCCAGGGAGATGGTCCTCATGCACAAGAAGTGCTGAAACAGGGCTGAAGCTCCAGTCTTCCAGCAAAGTTCCCCAGAGAGAAAACAAGTCACTCTGGGTACTCAGGGGCTCGGAGGGGACCTAAATTGGGCCTCTGCCTTCCTGGATGAAGCTCATTTCATGTTCAGGGTTTCTCCCTCCCTCTCTCTACAGCCTCTCAGGTCTTGACCAGAAAGATAACTGCCTTCTGGAATAAAACTGAAACATCATGAAATGAGGCTTCCTAAGTCCAGACCGAGCCAGAAACAGACGTCTCAAGCAGGATGCTGCTTTCAACATCCGATCGCTGTTTACATTTAATCTTGTTACCAGAAACGCACACTCATTAGATTAAAACCAGGAATTTCAGTAGCCTGGGGCAACTGATGGGAAAAGAAGATGCAAAATTCTCATTACCTTCCTTCACAAATATCCATCTTCAGTTGTAAGAAATACAAATGCCTATGAAATAATTGATCTCATTAATTCATAATACACAAAGGAAAACATGCAAAAATAATAATAAAAGATGAGTCAAGGACAAGACTTACACATTCGAAAAACAAAACACACAAAACATATTTTTGTCTCAAGTATCAGGTGCTGTTCCCATACATTGCAAAGCTGCCCCCGTTCCGTCACAGTGGTTCCTGTGGCTGCCTTAGTCTAAATGGGCCAGGGGGGTGATTTCCAGCCAGCCCCACATGCACATGCTGTCTTAGGGATGGACAGAGTGACAGGAGCCCACCAACAACTGGCTGGTGCTGCCGCCAGTGGGCGCCCCCGCCCTGGACCTTCCCAGTCAAACTTGGGGTATCTGAGAGCGCCAGGACCCACAGGCCACCCCTGCACGCCAAGGGGCTGCTGTTCTTCACAAAGTATTTGCACACCCACGTTCCCGCTGTGTGAAGTTATTGAGAGGAGGAGGGTCTATGCAGACACCTCCTTGGCTGTGGTGCAAACACCCAGCTGGGCTTTTTCCTGGGTCCCAGGAACTGTGGGTGCCTGAGCAAAAGCACAGACATCAGCTGTCTCCAGGCTGAATTGTGCGCATGTCTGTGAGCTCCCAGCACTGCTGCTTTGAAACCTGGGACTTGATCTGCGGACAGAACCTGGTAAGCTCTTGGTAAGTCACAGGCGCCTCTGTGCAGGGAGCAGAGGGCATCGACAGTGCCGTGAGGGCCAGGAAGGGCCCTGGAGCACGTTATATTTAGGGACGCGGGACATGTGACACTTGGCCGCCGTTCCCACTCTTTTTTAAAGCCCGGATTCACATGGGATACAGATTCCAGTGTCTGGCCAAGGTGAGAAAAGGGAAACTTCTTGAAATCTAATACAGAGGCAGGAGTGTTCAGGGGGCAGGAGAGAGAGAAAATTTTGGCAGTTTAAACAAATCAGTCTCAATAGTCCTTCTAATTTCGATGTTTAAAAGTCAAGGTGCCAGTGTTTTGAGATGTGAATGTTTCACATGGTGTTACAACCCTGTATTTGCACAGTTCTGGGCTGTGTGTGGCATTTCACAACTTACTGATTCATTTTAACCTCTTTGGACTGCAAGGAGATCCAACCAGTCCATCCTAAAGGAGATCAGTCCTGACTATTCATTGGAAGGACTGAGGTTGAAACTGAAACTCCAATACTTTGGCCACCTGATGCGAAGAGCTGATTCATTTGAAAAGACCCCAATGCTGGGAAAGATTGAAGGCGGGAGAAGAAGGGGACGACAGAGGATGAGATGGTTGAATGGCATTGCTGACTTAATGGACATGAATTCGAGCCAATTCCAGGAGCTGGTGATGGACAGGGAGGCCTGGTGTGCTGCAGTCCATGGGATCGCAGAGTCGGACAAGACTGAGCGACTGAACTGAACGACTCTGAAATGGGTACCACTACCTCCATTTTTTACTGATGAGGACATGGATGTTCAGATGGGTGACGTGGGGTCAGCGATGTCTGTCTTATTTTAACCTGGACACTCGTGTTATGAAAAAAAAATCTGACTATATTACAAATCTCTTATGTGTCTAATGACTAAAAACCTTAGGATCAATCTCCTAACTGACATTACTTTGATTGTAAGAACTGTCAATTACTCTTAATACATTCAGCGCCAGAACACCGAGGGACGGTGTGACATACACAGGCTGAATCACGCTTATTCCGTATCGCAATCTCTATCTCTGCCACCTAGCGGAACACAACAAGTCCTTTCTACTTTGTTCCGATGTTTATTCAAGCTGATATTCAAGGGGAATTAAGTGTTCTCTTCTCCTATAATGCTACTGAGAGAAAAAAGAGGAGGGAGAGAATCACAGATAATCCAGTGGTAAATCTGGACTTTCACTGACGAGTCCTGCTAGGCAGTAGGTCTTCCTTGGGACATAAAGGAGAACAGGAACCTGGAGACCCCCGTTCACCAAATGCTACCTTGTTGTATATTCAGCAATGTCTCTGAGTCAGCCCTAGGATATCATACAAAGACACAGGAATAGTGGAACGATGCCCAAGCCCCTAGGAATCTTGGATCTCCCTAGGAATCTTAAAGGAGCCTGATTCTGAGACTGCCAGTACATGAAAGTCTATATAGAATGGTCTAAATTTATCAGGAACAGCCGTTGTGGAGGCTCACAATCAAAGAGACAGTGATTAGGAGAAAGGAAGTCATTTAGAAGAGATGCTCCATGTGTCTGACTTCAGAAATGTAAAGGCTTATGCTGGAGTCTGCCCCATCCATGACCTCAACTTCAGAAAAAAGCAACGAAGGCCTCCCTGCCTAGATCCTTGGTAAACAAACAGGGGACAACACACACCACCTCTGTATTCCTTCTTTGACCCTTGAGACTAAATTTTCTTTAAAGGGGAACTTCCTTTTGGATAAGCTATAGAGCTGGGGCTTAAAAAAAAGATACTGTGTATAATATGTACATCAATTATACCCCAATTAAAAGAAAAAGATAGTATGGGTCAGGAACACAGGAAAAATTCTTCCTTTAAGTAAAAACAAGACAAAAGACCATTTTTTAAAAAATTAATGGTGGAAACCTGGCCCAGACTAAGAAGAACTGGCAGTCCTGGCTGTTTTCCCAGCTCTCAGGAGGCACATGGCTAGCATAGCTCCTGCTATGTTAGGGGAAAAGCGGTGCCCACGTCCCAGGAGCTGACAGCTATAATCTTCTCCACACTGGGGCGACCACCCATCTCAAGATGGGAGGTGGGGCGTGGGGCTGGGTGTCAGTCTGGAACCGGTGACTTTTAGGAGGGACACGGACCAACCGAATTTTACCTGGGACTTACGTTAAGAACAAAATTTAGTCTATTACTTGTCTTGAGCCAAAATCTGCCTTTCTGTAGCTTCCACTCACTGACTATAATTCTACCACCAAGCACATTTAATTCCCCCTTTCCCATGCCGGCCTTTTGAAGATCTGAAGGCAGCCTTCATTTCTGAGTCTCCTCTCCATCCTCATCCCTCCACCTCCTCAGGTGTCCCTCAAACGCCAGGGAGGCTCAGTAGGCAGAGGCTCTCCTGGTGGGTATGGGTGTGGAGTCTGACGCCTGAGAGGGGCCCTGGAGAGGGGCGCCTGGGCTAAGCTGGCGGGAGTGGTCCCTTCACTCAGGTACCCTGGGCAACTCTGGGGCACCAGCATGTCACGGAGGACAAGGGGTTATGGGGGACAACCCGCTAGTGGAGGAAGCGCAGTTCACACTTGGGGTGGGAACCCTTCAGTGGGTAGTAAAATCAATTTAATGAGCCACAGTTGGCATCTTAAGCGAAGGAAAGGGAAAACCTAAGGGTGCTTTGCACTTACTATTGTTTCAAGAATGTCTGCTTCGGTAATTTACACGTATCTGTGTAATATATTACAAAGCAAAATATACATGTGGGGTTGTGATTGAAAAAAAAAAAAGAAAAAAAATCCCACTGGTTAAAAACACACACACACACATAATCCATCATGACATTTTAAAACAAAACTTGAAAAAAACTTGGTATTTGGTGGTAGCCTGGGGAAATCTCATAGATCATGTCACCCCTTTGCATCCGCCAGCAGGAGCTGATCTGCTGGCCTGAGCATCCTACACTTCCCCTTACTCCACCTGTGTGAAGAGCTATTATGGGGAAAACTCAAGGCACCACTTGTATGTCCCATAGTTACCAATGAGTCATGTGGGCCATCTTATATCTGCTTAAAATTTAACTTGATAGTAAACACAAGTCAAATTATCAATGCCTTCTATTGTAGAGGGACGGGTGTACAAAGAAGACAAACTAGTAATAGAATAATATTTGGCCTTTACACACATTACAAGTTAAAATGTGATCGTGTGATTACTAATTTAAAAAAAGGAAAAAAATGAAACAGCACTTTCCGCCCAAGCTAATGTTGCCTCCTTGGTGATGGTCTCATGGCCACCATAGGCACAAGACCGGATTTGAACATTCACTGCTTTTTTTCAGGTGGAAGAGATCCCCTCCCTAAGAAATACAAATGTTTCAATAACCAAAGGGCTGGCTGATGCCCTGGGGGAGGGGAAGGAGAGGCCAGGTGCGACTCCAGAGCCTGTGTTTAAATAGCAACAACTCTCCTGTGCCCCCCTCTTTGGTCCCCACCCAGAAAACCCACAACAGGAGGGCCCGGACCTGAGCCCAGCCTGGAGGGGTAAACAACTCTTGCAGCCCTCTCTCTCTTATCTGGTTCAAAGATTCGTGGAGGCAGAGGCAAGATGCTGGCCGGCCTCCTCTCCTACCAACTGGGGATCGGATAGAAAGTTCTCAGTTAAGAGGCCTCGGTTCTCCTAAAGAGCTCACTCCTAGCCCTTCAGAGACACCGCGATGTTTGATCGGTAGAGGACTTTGACAAACTCCCTGCCTGCAGGAGCAGAAAATACCCAGGTTCTCAGACCACAGGTGCCCAGTTGAAGAGGAGCCTGGATGGAAGGGGAGGGTGGGAGGTGGTGATAGGAGCATGCTGGGGACCGCACCAAATCAGAAAGTGACAGAAAGAGGCTCAAGATGAAGACTAATTTGCTGATTAAAATTTCAATACACGTCGCCCAGTTTTTACTGGGATCTTAAGTGACTGTTGGTGCAGTTATACCCAAATGAAGGATCTGACCACAGTGAGAAATTGAAGAGTACATTTTTTAGTGGTTACTCAATTTTGACACACTAAATAGAAAACTTAAGAAAAAAGGTTATTACCTGGTTTGTTCTTGCTGTAGTGTGTTGGGATCAGGTATAAAAAATCTTACTCGAAAATGCAGGGTACAGGGGAAACCTCCTACAACATTTTTCAAAAACAAATTAAATTTTCCCTTTAAAAAAGGCAATGTATGTAAGCAGCTACTGTCCCGTAAGTCACACATTTTTTTTTTTTTTACTAGACCACAGCTTTTTCCATCAATAAAAGGATGAGCTTCACAAAAAGAGTGCATGAGTTAGATAATTGTTCAGAAATCTCCAAGCCTATAAGGAGTAAAATATTTTTGCAACATCAGCATAAAATGAGATATAATCTGTTTTCCATAACATGTTTAACTTAGGGAGGTGTTCAAACACTGCACTCCGTCATCTGTATTAGGAATTTTAAAAATCCTTAATTTAGCAGATTAAACAACTCACAAAGAAAATGTCTCACATATACAATGACTCCGTACTTTTCAAATATTTTCAGATACATTCTTGAATGTAAACACCGACACGACTATGAATAGGCTAGGGTGCTGTTGATTGCAGCATGCAACAACTTAGCCACCAGGCTTGCACTCAGCCACTCAGAGTTTTGCCTTAGGTCACACAGCCGAGGACAACACCACAGTTAATTGCATTGAGTCTTTTGATTCTGCGTGGCCACATTTTAAAATTAATTTTGATCCTGGAAAATATTTCATGCCTTTAATGCAAAGTGAATACTAAAAATGATTCATGTACCGGCAAATATTACACAGCTAACATACTCAGATATTTTATGCATCAGGGCCAAGAGTCCATTTGCTTGTTAAGCATAGACTTTGTCCATTTCTTTTGCTGGATGTGGTAACAGATGATCAGATTTTGTCTCAAAGATCCCACACTCTTCATGTCCATTTTTCTCTTCTCCATTACTCAGTATATAGTCACTGATCCTTTCCAGAACTTTCTTGCTCTCTGAAACCCAAGCCTTTTCTACCCTGCTCTCCTCCACTGAGCTCCTCTACGGGAGTCCATTCTGGGCTCCACCCTCCCATCTCAGATGAACTTCTGTCTTTATCTCTGGCTTGTATCAAAGTCTCTAATGGTGTGTGTGTACCTGTGAATGTACCTCTGTGCAGGGACCTGGGTCCAGGGGGTGGTTCTTAGCTCTGGGTGCAGGCTGACGACCTATACATCAGGGGATGGGTAAGTCCTCCCAATAGCCTGGACGCCCTACTGGCTCCCCTCCCTGCCTCCCCGCTCTGTAACTTCTCATTTCTGTGTTCCAAGCATGCCCCCTCGCCGTTCTCATCCTCTTCTGTGCACCCAGGGCATCCTATCACGAGCTCAGGGCTACCCCAGAGCTGTCTCTACCCTTGTCTCCATCCCTACACTTGGCTGTAGGCTCCTTGAGAGCACGGTCCAACTCTCAGTCCCAGAGCTCAGCCCAGTGCCACGCCAGAGTCCGAGCACGGGACCTGCCTGCTCAGAGAATTAATAAGAGAATGAATGACAACACCTGGCCATGCACACATGAGCTCATTCCTCTGTGAATTCAAATGGGGGCACATATTTGCCTGCACAGCATCTCTGCGGCTCCCCCTGGTACTTCCCAATGCTAAGGACACAACTCACGGGAGGAAAGAGTGCTGAGGCCTGACTCCAGGTAAGGGCAGCAATGGGGTCAGAGTCAGGTCTGATTGATTGTTGTTATTCCTTCCCGTCTTGGCACCAGGCCAGTGGCAAGCGTGTCATCATGGGTGTGCACTTTCATGTGTGAAGATCCACGTGCCTTCACCCCCCGATCATCTACTAGCCACGTCCTATATGGAGAGCACCACGAGGGATGTGACAAGTACCCTACCTGCAAAGAGCTGGCCGTGTTGCAAAGACGATAAAGGCCAATAACTCAGAGTGAAGGAGGGGGTATTCTGAGACACAAGGCGGGCAGGGATCGATGTAAGGGAGGGGAGAGGGAGGCAGGGCTTCTATTAGAGGAAATGGAATCTCAGTGGCACTGAAGAGAAACGGCAAGACTGGGATATAGGGAAGTGGGAGGGAACAGCATTCCCAATAGGGGGAACAGACCCAGGGAAGGCAGAGGGGTGGGTATGTGGCCCTGCATGTCAGTTTGGTTTGGGGCAAAAAGTGCATACAGAGGAACAGAGGGCGCGATTGGAAACCCAGGCAGGGAGTGGGGGGAGGTGTAGCTGTACAGCCCGCCTAACTGGAAGGTAGGATATAGCAACAGGATATACTCATGTGTGTTTATCTGTGACACTATCTATCCATGCCTCTGCTTCCAGGGAATGGAAATGNCTCAAGGGAGGATACTCACGGGAGAGTCCAGCGAGTCATCACCATGCTGTAAACCGAAATACTCCTTCTCAGTCACACCCAGGTAGTTGTAAGCCATGTCCAGGAGAACTTGACCGGTATCTTGTTTCTAGGAAAGAAAACGTCCAGTGGACAAAATTTTAAAACAAATTAAGAGCTGGTCTCTAGAGTCTTTATTGCAGATAAGAAGGTATTAAAACATGTGGCGAGATTTCATGCACACACACAGCCTACAATATGTGTATATGTGTGTGTGTGTGTGCACGCGCGGGCACATGCTCAATCATGTCCAATTCTCTGTGACCCATGGACTGTAGCCCACCAGGCTCCTCTGTCCATGGGATTCTCCTGGCAAGAATACTGAAGTGGGTTGCCATTTCCTCCTCCACAGTATCTTCCCCACCCAGGGATCGAATCCATGTCTTTTGCGTCTCCTGCACTGGCAGGCAGATTCTTTACCACCGCACCACCTGGGAAGCACTACCCTACACTAAGAAATGCTTTAATAAATTCCAAGTCAAGAAGCACCACTGAACATATGGAAAATAAGGCTAAGGTAAATATGACTTAGAAGAATGAGATCAATTTAATTTTCTAAGATTTCTTCCTTCCTCTTAGCTGAGATTCCCAAGTGATAATGTCTGAATCGGAAAACTAAGACGTCCTGATGACAGTAAACTCTGCGTGACCTGCTCATGGATTATCCACGGCAAAACGCTAATCCACGTCGGTCCGTGTTGGCTCCTCAGAAGCCAGGCAAGTGTATGCAGGGAGGAAAACTCGAACGGCATGAAGGAAGACAGCTAAGAATACTCAAATGCCATTGAAAGTACCCTTAAAGGGATCTGGCAGGGGACACTGGAGGATTATCTGCCTCCCTACTCTGCGCCATCTGAAGTGAGAAGCCAGTGGAGACATTCAACCCACTTCACATCCAGAGCAGGGCTCAGCCACCTTCTCCACTTGGCGCTCGGGAGCGGGCGTGGGGCTGGGGAACGGGGTCAGAGCCACAACACACGTCCTCTTCCTGCCCTCCCGGGGAGGCCAGCTGTGCAAGCAGTGAGCGTGACTGGGTGTGTCAAGCGTCATGGAAGACTCGGGGCACAGCGAACACAGCCGGGCAGGGCAAGGCAGCCCCTGACCGTGGTCTGCAAGGGTGACGGGCTGAGCGCCACACCCTCCCTCCGGGTGCAGGCACTCCGCAAAGGCAGCGAGCGGATGGCCCAGCGCAAAGGCACAGGGGTGGAAACTGCAAATTCTACTTGAACACGCAGACTTCTCCAGAATCCTTTGAACCCAACCCTTTAACTTAAGGGCAATGTGAGTCAGAAATAGACCGCGTAGAGAACCAGCAAAGGCAGCTTTTTTCGGCGCCTGAGAGCACATGATGCACCTGAAAACAGGTCACCACAACCAGGATGGGGAGAGTTAGATAACTGTCACCCCCTCCTGCGGCTGCTTCTCCAGGACAGTCTCACATTATCTGGCCCACAGCGTGGGAACATGAAGACACACCCCTGTCCTGAACACGTCCCCTTCCTGCCCCGGGCCCTGGCTCCTGCTGCTGCCTCCGCTTCCCAGGTCACCTCCCATCCCAGGGGAGTCAGGATGGTTTGGAAAAGATGACCTAGTCCACACACTCCAAATCATGACATAGTCTCTCTCTGAATTACAAGATACTCACGATGCCAAGAGCTATCTGTTCCCTTTGCTGAAGTTATTAGTTGTACGATTTTATATTATGTTTAACGTGAACTCTGGTGCCGGAGAAGACTCTTGAGAGTCCCTTGGACAGCAAGGCCATCAAACCAGTCAAACCTAAGAGAAGTCAGTCCTGAATATTCATTGGAAGGACTGACGCTGAAGATGAAGCTCCAGTACTTTGGTCACCTGATGCGAAGAGCTGACTTGTTGGAATAGACCCTGATGATGGGAAAGACTGAGGACAGGAGAAGCGGGCAACAGAGGATGAGATGGTTGGATCATGTCATTGACTCAATGGACACAAGTCTGAGCAAACTCTGGGAGCCTGCGAAGGACAGGGAAGCCTGGCGTGCTGCAGTTCACGGGGTTGCAAAGAGTCGGCTACGACTGAGCAACTGAACGACAACAAAATCAATCACTGTAATCTACGGGGCATCTACAAGGAGCCAGCCTCGGACCTCTGCACATTTCACATAGGATCTCCAATCTGCGCAGCAATGTCACACAGCCATCACCACACTCCCTGTGCAGAGAAGCAAACGGCGGTCCCAAAGGTTCCGTGCCTTGAGCCGTCAGCTGACGGGTGGTCTGACTTCCTGACTCAGGTGGGTCTGATGCCAGAGCCTGCATGCGCCCTCCGCACCTCCTCTCTCCCCTCTGGAATGCATCATCCATCATTCCAGTATCTGCATAACTCACCCAGTTCTCAAAAGGACCCGAAATAAGACACATTTTTGATAGAGGCCTCCAGGCCCAGCACCCCACCAGAGGTCACCCAGGCTACATCAGGTCACTGTCCAAGACAGCCTTGCTCTCTGGGCTGAGCTGAGAACAGCTGACGTCCAGGCCAGCTTCCCTGAGGATGCCTGCTCCTGGTCATGAGACGGTCTGGGCTGAGGAAGCTGAATGTGACCCCCGGGAGCAAAAACATACAAAGCGATGGAGATTCTAAGCTGGAACCCAGCCCTGGTATTCACGGGTCAGACTTGACCAGGCTGCTGGAAGCCAGGGGAGCAGCCCAGGCAGCAGTGAGTCACGATGACGTCCGTCACTGATGATGACCGGGTACCCGCTGAACACCAGGCTCTGCTCTGAGGCTCCACGTAACCTCTCAGTGGATGCCGTCCTCATCACTCTTCCTCCTTAAAACATGTTCTCACTTGGGATTCTCATTCCCTCTCAGCCTCCCCTCATCTCCCCAGACAGTTTCCTGCTTGCTTCTTATCTCCCCAGCCTTTAAACACCGCACGTCCGTCGTCTCCTCTATTTTCAAGTGATCCTGAAATAACATCTCTACATCCACACGTGTATCCGAGCCTAGACTCTTCCATCAACTCATTTGTGTACATAATGCCATGTCTACCAAGACAAGTAACAAGTATGTCAAACTGACCACGTCTAAAACAGAACCAGTTATTTCTGCCCCTCAAACCTGTTTCTCTCTCAGCCTTTCCCATTTCTATAAACTGCAACTCCATCTTGCCTACTGCTCAGGCCAAAAACCTTGGGGATCACCTTGAGGCTTCTTTCACATCCCAGATCCCACTGGTTCCATGTTTTAAGTTACTTCCAGGCTTGGTTTACTCTTGGCCGAATGACCACCTCGTCTAATGATCATGGTGTCTGCCACAGGCTGAGAGTCTCAGCCCTTGTCCCACCCCCACCTCCCAGTCACTAGAGCATCCTGAGTAAGACCTGAGTCAGATCGCATCAGGTCTCTGCCCTAACCCTTCAACACTCTTTGCCTTATTCAGAACACAGCCAGTGCTCAGCATGACCTACTAGGCACTTCACAATCCCCCTGTCCCCTCAAGAGGAAAAAAGTTATGTTAAAAATGAAAAACAAAACAAAACACCAAAACCCTACCTATTTTATTACAGAAAAAGTTGGTTTTTCTCCTCCAGACTTAAGTGGGAAAGAGGAAAAATTAACTATCTGCACCCAAATGTTTTGTTGTGACATAGGAAAATAATCAAGCACAATGTTAAATTCCATCCTTAGTGATTTTTTTTTTATTCTATCTGTACCATCTGCTGTGTTCATTCCTCCGATCCTGTGTCCACCTTGATGTGGGAGTAGGGGACATTTTGTCAAAAGGCACACTGGTGTATGTGTGTTTGCCAGCTCATTTGTTCATAAAACATTTTATCATATTACAAAAAAAATCTTTTGAAATGGCTGTTAGGGCTTCCAAAGTGGCGCAGTGGTACAGAATCGCCCACCTGCCAATGCAGGAGATGCAGGAGATATGGGTTCGATCCCTGGGTTGGGAAGATCTCCTGGAGAAGGGAATAGCAACCCACTCCAGTATTCTTGCCTGGAGAATCCCATGGACAGAGGAGCCTGGCAGGCTACAGTCCATGGGGTCGCAAAGAGCCAGACACAACTGAGCACGCATGCATCAGAAGAAAAACTAAACAGCCTGTCACCTGTTATTTCTGACCTCATCTCTGGCTCCCCTCCTCCTCGCTCAGTGGCGTCCAGCCTGTTCTGTGACCACACTAAGGGAACCGCCCCAGGGCCTTTGCTCTCCTGCTGCTTCTACCTGGAATGTGCTTCCTCCAGAGAAGCACATGGTTCTGCCCTTACTTCCTTTAGGTCATCTCTGAGATGTCATCCTACAAGTGAGGTCTTCCCTAATCTATAAAATGACAACTCCACCCTTTGCCCTGCCCTGAACTCTCCACCCTTATTATCCAGATTTTTCTTCTAAGTACATAATATCACCTGACATAACACACATTTGCTTATGGTCCGTTTCCTCCCTCTGGGAGGTAAGCTTTAAAAGGACCCAGATGTTGTTCTGTTCACTGCTGTATTCTCTGCACCCAGAACAGGGCCTGGCACATAGTAGGTGCTCAGTAAACGTGTGCTGAATAAACATTCATGTTCGTGTCAGGAAGAAGAGCTAAGGAACAGCTCCAGGGCAATGTAAATTTTAACAGAAGGGCCAGGTCGAAACTGACCTGCCAGTTTACAGCAACCGGAAGAGACCTGTGGGGCCTTTAGAGAGCACCCACCATGTGGTGACTTGATATACACCACGCTCTTCTCTTGCCTGCTCAGGTCCACAGTGACCTGGGGTCAGCAGCAAGCAGACTCATGGGGTGGGGGACATTCCGGGACCAGTTTTTGTTACCCTTTGAATTCTTGTGGCCTCCTATCATCCCCCAGTGGCTCTCCTATACCCTCTTTTTTCTTTCTGACGCCTTCCCTTGCATACTGAGTTTTCCAGGCTGGGGCAGTTGCCGGCAGCCAGCCTGGGATTGGAGATGACCCCTTTAGGACTGGCCAGAGGGATGAGAGAGACAGGCAAAGGTCACAAAAACCCAGGTGGTGAGCGGGGAGGGGTGAGGCGGCAGGGCGGCTACTGGTTAGGCATCACGCTGCTGACGGAGGACTGCAGACCTCATTTCTAGCCCTGCTTCTGCCACAGGCTTGAGGTGGGAGAAGCCAGGCTGTCCCCAAGCCCTGCCATCTGGGTAGCTAACCACCTCACGACCCCCCAGAGAGGACCCTCTGTTTACCGTCTGCACATCTAATGAGCATCTGCTGTGTGGCAGGCACAGTGAAAACGATGCTATTACCATTCTACAGAGCTCGAAACCTTGAAGAGTGATGTATGACCTGATAGTTGTAACTACTATCCATGCAATGTGACATGGGCTCCAATAAAGCATACGCGGGGCACCATTACTGCAGAATCAGCTCAGGAAGTCAAAGATGTCACAGAAGCAGTTAACATCTAAGACTCTCACAGTTTACAAAGAAGAGAGGGAAAGACATGTCAGGTAGAGACAAGAATGTGGGCAAAGTTTTCATGGCTATTTCTAGGTCAAGCTCAACATGCAAGATCGGAGACATCAAGCTTTTATTTTAAAATAATTCTCTTCATTTTACAATCCAAGAGATGGAAAAATATTTCTCTGGGACATTTATTCAGAAAAAAATTAAATCTGGAGAACTTACGTTAACTTTAAAGGTCTGTACCAAGCCATCTAAAAAGCGGACGCTACAGATGACTTCCGATCGCGTTTTCTCTTTGGGTAATTCTGAGGTGCGTATGTTATTAATTCTTCCACCCAACGCACGTAACCGGGAGGTCATAACTATCGCTGAATAACCTGTAACAGAAGACACGCCTGTTAGCTCTAATATGCAAATTACCATTTCCATCTGAATGTATCTCTCGGTCTATCCATCCCTCACCTGTCTGCCTGGATCTTCACAAAATCATCTGAAGACCTCAGATAAATGTGACTTGGATGACAAACGATGTTCCCTTTGAGTTTTGACTTCTAAGCTGCTTTAGACAATGTTTACCAATCAACTATAACACATTCAGAGAATTACATGGCTTATTTGTGTCTTATTATTTCCCTAGTCTAAATCTTCTAATTCATATTTTCCATGCATGTAAATTTTTATGTTTTACTATTTTATATATTTGTGTATTCTACCCCTAAGATTTTTTTTGCACCACAGAACTAAATGTGGTACAGAAATTATTTAAAATATGAAGACATTTATTGATCAATTAGACTACATTAAGAACGTCTATTCATTAAGAGGCTATTTAAAAGAAAAGGCAACCCACAGAGATAACTGTAATAAATAATTACAAAGGATATACAAAGAGCTCCTATAAATCAAAAAGAGAAAAAACAAGTAGGTAAAAAATGGGAACATCAGTTGTCAAAGAAATGCAAAGTGAAACCTCAAAGCAACAGTACCACACACCCACCAAAACGGCTACCAGGAAATCTGACAAAACCAAGGGTTGGCCACAGTGAGGAGCACCTGGAACTCTTGGGCACTACGAATGAGGATGGAAATTAGTGCAACTAATCTGGAAAACTGGCAGTATCTACTGGAGCTGAACATACGCATATTCTGTGAAATAATTCCACTCCTAGGCATAATTCCAAAAGAAAAGGATACATTTATCTGCTAAAAGACATGCATAAGACTTCATAATAGCTGCAAACTGGAAAAGACCTACTAGAACAAATAAACTGTAGTAGAGTCACGCCATGCACAGACTACACGGCAAAGAAAATAAATGAACTACTGTGATACACGATAGCATTTCTTCCAGTGTTGTGTTGAGCAAAAGCAGCCAGACTCAATAGATGACCTAGCATGATTCAATTTACCCAAAGTTCAGCTCCAGGCAAGACTAATCAATAGAAGACAGGACACAATTACCTCTGGGTGCAGTGACTGAGGGGGTGGACAGGGGTCTTCTGGGGTGTGTATAGTCTACTTCCTGACTGGGGTGCTAATAACACTGATGTACTCTGTGAAAATGCATCAAACGTCATCATGATTTGTGCTTTTTTTTTTGATGTATATTTCAACAGAGTTTACTTTTTAAAAACATGAATGAAGAGGAAATTAAGAGAGCAGTTTGCAAGCTGAGCACGGTATACTCAGGGAACAGTAAGGAAAGTGGCTTTACCAGTGAGTGCAATCGTGAAGTGTTAGACTAACAAGGCTAAAGTTGTATGCAACCTAGGACACGGTCACTTTGTGCAGGCAGGAGGCAGGTGCATCCCGGCCAGCTCCTCGGCTTAGGAACAGAGGTGTAAATCTGACAAGACTGGGTGGAAAAGCAGATAAAGATGAAGGCCTTAAAAGCAATTTAACGTCCGTTTAAAAATTAATTTTCTGCAGACAGTGTATAGTCTACTTCCTGACTGGGGTGCTAATAACACTGATGTACTCTGTGAAAATGCATCAAACGTCATCATGATTTGTGCTTTTTTTTTTGATGTATATTTCAACAGAGTTTACTTTTTAAAAACATGAATGAAGAGGAAATTAAGAGAGCAGTTTGCAAGCTGAGCACGGTATACTCAGGGAACAGTAAGGAAAGTGGCTTTACCAGTGAGTGCAATCGTGAAGTGTTAGACTAACAAGGCTAAAGTTGTATGCAACCTAGGACACGGTCCCTTTGTGCAGGCAGGAGGCAGGTGCATCCCGGCCAGCTCCTCGGCTTAGGAACAGAGGTGTAAATCTGACAAGACTGGGTGGAAAAGCAGATAAAGATGAAGGCCTTAAAAGCAATTTAACGTCCGTTTAAAAATTAATTTTCTGCAGACGTTCTCTGACGAGCCAGGCCTCTGCACATGCTACTGCTTCTGCCTGGGAAGCTCTTCACCTTCTCCTCTTCACCTTATTAACTCCTGTTCGAGCCTCAGTGCTCGGCATGAGGATCACCTCCTCAGGGAAGCCTTCGCTGGCATTCCTGATGACTCATGTATTTGTTACAGGCTCTCTCCACTGCTCATCATAACTTCACATTTATAAATGATGATGAATTTAATATCTGCTTCTGCCACTACAAGCTGAGCTTCATGAGGGCAGGAACCAGGTCTGGTCTTGCTCACTGCATCTCCCAACACCTAGCTCTAGGAGCAGTTGATAAATATCCGAGTGAATCAATGAACAAAATGAAAACTGAAGCCAAGATTATAGCCTGGAAAAAAGAAAATAGTACAACCTAATAGATAAACATGGGATGGTGGGAACAGGCAGGAGAAAAGGATGGGGTGAGAGTGGAGGCTTCGATTAGAAGGCAGGGTGGACCCCCAGGTCCACTCTGAACTGGGGTTCTGTTGACCTGGGTCCTCACACTGCCACGTGCACACACATCACCTGGGGATCTTATTAAGATGCAGACAAGGATTCAAGCAGGTCTGGGCGGGGCCTGAGGACCTGCATTTCTCAGACTGCTGGGTGATGCCGAAGCTACAGGGCCCACACTGTGAAGGGCAGTCACACACACTCAGAATACCGCACACATGTATTAGGGCAGGGCCAGAGAGCAAAGATTTGGCAGTCAGAAGCAAGGAAGGAATGAGGACAAAGCTAACGAGGGACCTGAGGGAAGTCCAGCTTCAGGAATCACAGAAGCACAGCTTAGATGCAGGCAGCAAAGACACAGGAGAGATGAAAGCTGTGCAGAAGATACACCCAGGACAGAAGGGTGTCCTTGGGTATTTCAGAAGCTAATCCTACTTCAGAAGCTCCAGGAAAACCTCCATTCTTTTGTAGATGGGGACAGGAAGTCTCAAAAATTCATCAAAAAAGATTTCTGGGACTGACAATAGATGGGAACTTGTTGTCACTTACGAAATTCCACCCACCCCACCACCTCCACTGTGCCCTTTCCAAGGAAAATGTCATCAGAAGAAGGGGTGCGTTTTCTGAGTAATATCGAAAGTTATCAAAAGACAACAAACATGTTCCATAATGCCTTAACTGCCTTGAATTTCAAATGTCAAATTTATTATTTAGTCCTTGTCGAAGAATTTCAGGTGGGTTATAAAAAAAAAATTTTTTTTTAAAGATACAATAGAACCATTTCCAGTATTGCTCTTAGTGGGAGGTGCACATCAGAGCTACCTGGGGAGTTTTCAGAAAATATGCCGTCCCTGCCCCACAGATGGTGACTCAGCATCCCGGGGTGTGGCACAGAATGACATTCCTCCTGGGAAGCCCTCAGAGGGTCAGGCCCGCCTGGGCTAGAAGAGCGAGTTTTGGGGGGAACCTCAGAGTGTGTTTCAGATGGTCAGATTTAGAATACAGTCAACCCTCCAGACCCAAGGTTCCTTGGCCTCGAATCCAACCAACCACTGATTAAAAATCTTCAGGAAAAGAAAAAATTCCAGAAAGTTGGGAAAAGCAAAGCTTGAATTTGTCATGCATGAGATCACACCTACTTACACAGCATTTATGTCGTATTTGTGACTATTAACGCATTTACACTGCATTAGGTATTGCAAGTCAGTGGTCCCCGACCTTTTTGGCACCAGGGACCAGTTTCATGGAAGACAGCTTTCCCAACGCCTGGGGCTTGGGGACCCCTCTTCTAAGTAATCGAGAGATGATTTAAAGTACACTAAATCATGTCACAGGCTATATGCAAATACCAGGCCACTATATATGAGGGACTTTAGCGTCCTCAGGTTCTCGTATCCCACTCTGAAACCAATTCCCTGCGGATACAGGACAACTGAACAGGTTCCACAAAATCTGGGCCATTCAGAGGGCGCACGTGCAACACTCGGGGACGCGCTCAGCGCAGCTACAACTGACAACAAAGACCGCCACCACCCTGGACAGGAAAAACCCGAACGTTATTTCCCACAGGAGCCTCCCAATGAAAGGTCCACGGGCTGAGGTGGCGACGGCAGGGCTGATCTTCACACCGCCTGCAGCTGGGAGGCTCCGTGTCCAGGGCCAGCATGTGTATGCCGGGAACTTACTAACTTAACCAGGGTTAGCGGCTCTCCCAGCATGATCCCGCAGCCAGCTGCGGACAAACTCAAGCAGACCAGCTGCCCAGAAGGGATCGACTTGTTCCTCCTCACATGATCTCTGTTACATAATCAGCTTGGGGCCCAACGTCATCATAATTTGGTGAAATTTCATGAAAGTTGCAGAAACGCTCTCCCCATAATTATCCCCAAAGCAAACCTTAATAAGCGCAAGCCTGGTGTTGGATAACCACATAAATGAGCCACGTGGTGTTTTCCGATTGTCTTGAAATTATATCTTAAACAATCCGGTCAGGACAATGGACGCTGACTAACAGCCCTGTTTCCTGAACCGCGGCAATTGGGGAACTCAGGGTTTCTATGGCTTCCTTTATAAGCCTCTTAATTCTAAACAAAGCGACAACCCAACCAGGAACACACTGGCCTCAGATGATTACATCTGCAGCTGATGAATTTTACAACATGGAAGCCCAGCTGGTTCTTTGCATTAAGGAAAAAAAAAGAATGTCGTGCACAGTAACACTACAGGGTCTACTGTTGACTATAGTTTTTAACAAAGATTATACTTGCAAAACATTATAGAATGAGGCAACATCTCAGTACAATGAGATGGTGGGGGCTCCATACCTACCATGAGCCATGGGATCACCATGCGTTAAGTGCCTACACAATGTGACACACACCAGACACTCAATAGCAGGGATTTTAATAACAATCTGTTTTGTTCTGACTTATGATTCCAAATCTATGCTGTGAAAGCTGGCTTCAGACAGAAGTTGTTTGTGGTTGAAACTTGTTTGAAGAGCCTGTTTTGATGAAATGGCTTAGAAGTTGGTTAT